TTATTTCTAAGCTCCTTAATTAAATCGATTTTCTGGTTTTTATTCATTCAAAATAAAGAAGAAGGTTTTGGTTCGGTTCCCAAACATTAATTAAATTGATTCAGTATAAAGTCAATATCATTGTATGATATGATTTGAACGAAATTAACAAAAATAAAAAATGATTTAATAATTATAATTAAAACAAACTAATTTAAAGAAAAATCAAACTCATTCATTAGATTTCAGATATTTTATACTAAAACATGAATAAAAAAATGAATATTAATTCCTCTGTAAAATATAGTTGAATTTTTATAAATCTTTACATCTTTTAAAAATTAGTAATATTTGCTGATTAATTACATATCATCAACTTATTCAAAACAGATTCTCTTTTTGTTGTTAATAAAGAAAAATATTTCCTTTTCACTGAAGTTTTGAAGAGCCAACTTTAATTAGAAAATAATTTTGTGCCATTCGAGCGTCACCGAGGTGCGGAGTTGATTGGCCTGGAAATTAAGTTTTCGCGCAATACCGGCGTGTCGCGTTAAAATTAATTGCAAAAAGGCAAACGCATGCAGTTGGCTGCCGACGGGCGTATCTCATTAATTAGAGCAAATTGCAAAAGCGGCGACGAACACTTTTCCAATTGTAATTATGATAGCGGACGCACGCGCGTGTGTATTTATGAAATAAAATCGAAATTCGCGCCAGCAATCAAGGCAGAAAGGCAATTTTTGTATCAAAAGCCCAACTGGGAAATCAGTCAAACAAAAATTGTGGCGATTTTAATAAAATAACAACCATCAATTGGACAGAAACGGCGAAAACAACTTAATTGTGAATAAATATTTTAATTAAAAATCTAACAAAGAGTTGACTGCAAGTTTTAAAACGAGCAATTCTTACACCACATACTTATTTTTTAATTTTGATTTAAAAGCAGAGATACATGCACTTATTTTGATGTAATCGTCAGACTACAAAAATAATAATAAAATGCATTAATTTGAATTTTTCCTAAGCTATTTGAAGCTTAATTGACAATTAAGAATTTTACAAAAAGGGCATTTGAGTCCTGCTCATTTGTTTGTGCAAATACATTTATTGTTAAAAATTAAAAGCTTGGAGCACCAAAGAAGCAAATTTTTTCAGAAAAAATAAAGGAGGAAAACAAGTTTTTATTTTGCTGAAATAAGTAAAATATAGAACCCCCATTTTCACTTTATTTGCGCTTCAAAGTAGTTAATTCCTACAAATTGTTTAAAAATAATATTATCCCGCGATTAAATGAAACTAAAATATTAAGATTTACAAATCAATATTCAATTTAAAAGATAAAATTTAAATGCACCAATTTGAACCTTGGCCAGAATCGCCAGGTCTCGATTTGAAATCTCACGGCAGACCGACAGAAACACCATTCAAGACTCTCTTTATGCGTGCGTGTGTGTGTGTGCGAGGGGCAGGCAATTTGCTCTCTTAATTTTCGCTGGTGAATAATGCAGAGGCGGATAGATAGAATACAGGGCTTGGCTCGGTGCCATCGGGGCATTGATTGTTAACGCTCGACTTGCTCCATTCTGCAGCCGCTCCAGATAGCGAAGCAGCCCGGCCCCCTCTCGCCAATGTCGACAAATCCAATTCGAACAAAACGGGCGAAAATCAGATAAATCTTGGCCCCAGAACTTGTGCAGTGTTTAATTATTGCTGTTTGAAAGTGAAATCGATTTTAATCTCATCGACAGGATGACAAAAATCTGGCTGGTTTTAAGAGTGAATTGGTGAGAAATTGAACATCACTATTGATTTTGGTGTTTTCATTTTCTGCTGTCTAGATAAATTTGTTAATTATTAATAGTTTCATGTGACAAATTTGAAAGTTTTTGTCTTTTAATTAATTTTATCTTCCGAAAACACACAAAAGCCGTACAAATTTAGTGAAAAAATATTTCACTCTGAAAAAGCTGTTTTTTTCTTGAAATGTTGAATTTTTTCTATCTCAATGAAATTGTTGTTTTGATTGTTATGTAAATTTGTGATTTATATTTATTAAAACAAATTAATATTCTAGAAAATTACATAACCGAGTTTGAGAATCAATGATTAAAGCAAATTTATTTATGCTTGGCAATTACTCAGCAGCTTGATTGAGACGCACGAGAAGTTGCGAAGTCGCCGCAAACTTCTTGCCAACCGACGCATCTTGCTTGTATTTGCTCTCACTCCAAAGTCGCAGAGACACACAAACCAAAGTCTAATATTTGTCTTGCGCGCACGATTTCCGTGCTGAATTTTCCATCAAACACTTTTTATTTGGCATGTGTGTGCCAAAGGAAAAAAGTCTACTCTTCTGTGACAAATATTAAAAGGACAGTCATTCGCAGCATTGCCTTTTTCGTGTTCGCCAACAATTTCAACATTATTCTGTTGATTTTGTAAAAGGGAAAAATTTCAAACTCCGCCGGCAATATTGCATGTGGAATGAGCTGCGTCGTTGTTTTTGTCACATCGCCGGTGGCAATTTTTCGTCACGTAGTAATTTATCAGTGGCACTTTTTTGCACCAACAAAAACCAAAAACCCGAGCTAATAAAGTAGGCGGTGTGCGTGCGTATGAATTTATAAAAATTAGAGAGTAAACAAAACTCTAGTGGCCCTTCTAACTACACACGCGGTGCTGAAATGAAAATAACAAAAAAGTTTCTGTTTCCTGTTTCGAATTAAAAGCAAATATTTTCCTTTTTATTTGAACAAAACACTAAAAAAATTAAGGGACGATTTATTTTTTAGTATTTACTTTTCAATTCATTAATTTAATTTTTGTAAATAAATCGCATTTGTGAAATTACAAAACCAACACTCTCATGCAGGTGGACACACGTCACACTCAAAGTGCATTAAATTTCAAACTCAGAGCAATGCCGTGCGCCGCTTTATTGACCAATTTGAACGGCGGCGACCACGCCACATTATTATCATTATGCACGATTTGTGAGCAAGGGGTGCCGTCGAGGGATGTTTTCCGCCTCAAAGTTGGTCAGGCCAATCAAGAATTTAATTATATTCCGGTGGACGGCAACAAAATTGGCAGTTCAGAACCTCCCACGTGGATTTCAGAATGGAATTTCGGCCGATCGAGCGTGTAATTTGATTTTGGAAAAATCCTTTGCGCGATCAGCGTTGGTGATTATTAATCCGGGACCTTCCGAACTGCGGGCTTCGACTGTTTAGATGACTCTAAATATAAACATTTAAACACAACATTTAATTAAGGATCTCTTTGAAAAAAATTCATTAATTCATTGTTTTCTGCTGCTATTTTTTTTTACTACAAATTTTGAGAATTTCAAAATATTTCCTTTTAATTTTATTTATTGAAATATCTACAAAAAGTTTTAAAATATTCCTACTTACAATCTTCAATTTATTGCTTTTCAAGCAACTAAATCTCAGAACGGAAATCAGAGAGAAAAATTGTGCGATTGCGTGACAGGATTGGGCAGAGCCCTTCAGCGAGGCGGTCCCACTTTTACTTGAATCATTTCCAGCAACGAGAGCGGCCTCGTGTGCTTTGCAGAGCCACTTTTTCCAGCAGTTGCGTTGCCGTAGCGTTGCGGCACTTTTCGGGGCGAGTCCGTCCTTCCCTTGTCCGCATTCTCTGTCCGTCCGCACCAACAAAATGTACCGACCCTTTGAAACTTTCGAGGAATACCAACCTTTCAACGACGACTATGACGACGAGTGAGTAATTTTCGCCCGCAAATTTATCAAAATTTCCAAAAAGTTTGCTTCAAAAAATCTGGAATTTTATTTGTATTTGGAATTAAATTGAAACCTTAAGTCTCAATTTTGGAAATATTTTTAACAAATTTTGTGCGTGTTTATTTTAATTTTACTTTGACCAAAAGAGCAAATAAAATATTTTGCAATCAATTCGTCGGCACTGGAAACGGTTTATCTTGGTCTCGGCGCCAGACAGCGTTTCAATTTTAATTCAGAGGGCTGGCGTGCAACGAAAGTCGACCTGCGTTCACCCTTTTCCACCTTACGTGCAGCCCAGCACGGGTGGAAAATCAATTTCATATAAAACAACCGGCAAGCCATTTACCAGCCGGTTTTATTTCCTCATATATTGCGCCGCATTTAAAGAAATTATTGAATTTATTTAACCTATAAAAAAATCGCGCGTGATTTATCAGGGAAGGAAGCAATCGAAATATTGACCACACAAAAAACCACTTCGTGACAGACAATCTGCTTTTTTTCACAAGAGAGAGCGTGCACGAGGACGCCGACTATACACCTGTCTATTTTTAGGCCGCTCAAATGAAATATTCAAGTGAGAGTTCCGGGCCGAGTAAATATTGATCGAATGCACAGAGCCCGAATTACTCCACGAATTCACACATTCGCACACACGCGTTTCGTAAACAAGTCAATCTAATTGCAGCACAACATCTAAACAATCAACTAATTTGAAATAAAATTTAAATATTATTTAATTACAGATTTAGTAAAACGTTTAATTATAAAATATTTAAAAGAATAAATTTTATGGTAGATATGAATTTATAGTTTAAAAAAAAATGCTTATAACTTGTGTACTCAAGATAAGTTAAGATTTTTTAAGGAAATTAGAAAATATTATAATTAATAATTATTTTAAACGGCCACACTTTTCATAAGAGTAATTAATTTTGGCAGGTTTAGACAAATAGTTCTCACTCGTTGCTCTGAAAATTTTTATTTTATTTTTTTAATTTTTGAAAGTTTCTTAATGATGTCTTCGGGCAGTAATTAAGAAAGAATATTTAACTGAAATTTAAATTAAATTGATACTAATTTGGTTGCTGCAAAACAATTGAATTTTAATTATAATGAACATGCAAATTACTTTTTTCCAATTTGATTTTGTTCTCCGTCTTCATCTCTATTTCTATTTCTTCAACTGCTTTCAACAATCGACTGCTCTTTCCAACAATCAGTAAATGTTTTCTTTTTCTTTAATTGTTGCAGCTGTCGAGCACCGATCGCCAGCCTCGACTGCATGGACGACTTCCAGACCGGCGCCGAGCACTCGGCCTCCACCCTCCAGCAGGCCGCCTCCGGGGGCAACGCCAAGGCCCTCGAGCCGCTGGCGCTGAGCCCCGCCGGCGGCGCGCTCGGCGCCCTCAGCGGCGGCAGCGGCGGCGCCCTCGTCAGCAGACAGTCTTCCCTGACGCCAGGTCTGAGGTACCGCAACCTCGGCAAGAGCGGCCTTAGAGTCTCCAATGTCGGTCTCGGTAAGACCAAGCTTAAATCAACAATTAAATTCCTAATTTGCAAATGATGTTAGGTTAAAAAAATTCTAGTTAAAAAATGGTTCAAATATTGCTCAATTTATTTTTGAAACTTTGGATTTGGATGAAACTTGGAAGTAAGTTTTTTTGTTTGTAAATGTCACAAAGTCACGACTATTTGTAAATTAAAATTCAAGCTTTTATTATTCGCTCCAAATTATATATTTTATAATTGAAAAGTTATTTTGTGATAAACCTAAAAATATACTTAGACATTTCAAGCAAATTGTGAATACCAAATGAAAACGTTAAAAATTTGTAAATAAATATGTGGAAATGAAAGATATTTGAAATATTTTGCTTTATAATAACTTAGCTGAAATCAAAATAAAAGCATTTGAAATTAAAATTGATGTGTTCAATTTTTGTGTTTGCAGGAACGTGGGTGACATTTGGCAGCCAGTTGAACGAGGAGCAGGCCGAGGAGGTTGTGACCCTGGCCTACGATTCAGGAATCAACCTTTTCGACCTGAGCGAGGCGTACTCGGGCACGAGGGCGGAACTCGAGCTCGGCCGCATTCTGCAGAGAAAGGGTTGGAAGCGAAGCTCCTACGTAGTCACAACTAAAATTTATTGGAATAGCAAGTGAGTTTTCAACAAAAAACAAAAATTCATTCTTCCCGCGCGACACGCACGTCTTGCGTGCTGCATATCTGCGGCTTCTCGCAGGCGTCGTGTCAAACACATGTAATTTTTGGCGACCGATTTCTTTTCCACTGACTGATTTCGTCGCCCCCTGTGTGTTAAAGATCTGACGAAAGAGGCCTTTCAAGAAAACACATTATCGAGTCGGTGAAGGCGTCGCTGGGTCGGCTGCAGCTCGAGTACATCGACGTTGTGATAATCCACAAGGCGGACGCCATGTGTCCCATGGAAGGTCTGTTTTAACTCAATTTCAAATTAATTAGTTTTATTTTCACTGAAGACTAGATTGAAAAATTTAAAATTTAGATTTTAACAGCAATTAAATTTTTTCAATATTATTTATTTAACACCGAATTCACCATTTGCGAAATCAAATAACATTGGTTCTTATGACAGCTTCATCTTAGAATGATTGAATCTTTTCAATCCTAAGACATGTTGTACAAAATGAAAAATAAAAAATATTGGCGTTGGAAAAATCAAAATTGGTTCAGCGTGGGGCTGTAGTCAGGCGATCAAAGATTTGTAAAAACTCAAAAAATTGGCTTCGGTTGCCTACTTTACAAATCTTTGATCGCCTGACTACAGCCCCACGCTGAACCAATTTTGATTTTTCCAACGCCAATATTTTTTATTTTTCATTTTGTACAACATGTCTTAGGATTGAAAAGATTCAATCATTCTAAGATGAAGCTGTCATAAGAACCAATGGTATTCGATTTCGCAAATGGTGAATTAAATAAAAAATATTTGAAATTTCCCTAAATCGATCTCTACTTTTTCTTTGTGTATTAAATTTTAAAATGCTGTCTGTGCAGAGGTGGTTCGAGCAATGAACCACGTGATCAGCCAGGGCTGGGTCATGTACTGGGGCACGGCGAGGTGGACCCCTGTGGAGGTGATGGAGGCCTACACCAACTGCCGGCAGTTCAACTGCGTCACGCCCATCATCGAGCAGACCGAGTACCACATGTTCTGCAGGGACAAGACGGAGCTTTACATGCCCGAGATGTACAACAAAATCGGCGTCGGCATGATGGCCTGGTCGCCCATTTCCATCGGACTGATCAGCGGAAAGCCCGAAGACGGCGGCATGTCGCTTTTTGCCAGGGCGTCATTTAAGGTACCAAAATTTAATGCAAATTATAAAATCATAAAAAAAACATTATTTAATAAATAAAAAAATTCCCATTTTCTTCAATTTTTCTTATTTAATTTGATTTTATTTTTTTTAAATAAAATCCAAAAACAACAAATCTAATATCTAATGAAAATATAAAAATAATTTATTTGTTTTATACGTTTTTGCATTTCTTTTCCAGAATAAATACTCTACATTCAGTTGGTCGGAAGACGAAACGACACAAGCACCTGGCAAGGAAGTGAGTCTCGTATATTTTGTCGAATAAATTGTGTGAGTTTCACGTGACAAATTGCGCAGGGATACACGTGGATCAAGGACAGATTGCAGCCTGAAGAAGGCGGGCGCAGGCAGCAGGACAAATTGCGTGACGTCAGTCAACTCGCCGAAAGACTAGGCTGTTCTGTGACTCAGCTTGTGATTGCGTGGTGCCTCAAAAACGACAGCGTCCAGTGCCTCCTGTTGGGGGCGGCTTCAGTAGAGCAGCTTTACGAAAATATCCAAAGTCTTCAGGTACAAAATGTGCCAAAATTTGTCAAGTTTCTAAATGGTTTTTACATGACTGGCGTAAAATGTCTCCTTCTTCACAAGAAAATGTGACTTTTTGACCCAAATTTTAGTTGTAATAGTTTCAGATCAATTAATTTAATTTAATTTATTATAAAAATAGTCCTCGTAAAGAAAAAAAATAGAATACATGTTTTCATTTTAGTTGATTGTTACATAAGTGATTTAAGTAATCCAACTTCACAAATAAGAATTAATTTGGAAAACATAATTGATCGATTTGGAAAATTTTGCAGTTGGTGCCTAAGCTGAACACGAACATGATGAGCGAGCTGGAGCGGATTTTGGAGAACAAGCCGGTGCGTCCGCCGATGATATCGACGCTGGCGCTGAGATGACAGTCAATGTGCCCTCCCGGGGGGGCGCTGTCTTCCTCAGACCCCGGGGCGCTCAAGCAGGTGGACGCCGACGAGGTGAGCATCGCGGCCACCGCCGCCGACGAGACCAAGGACAAGAACGTCAACTTCTGCAGTCTGCAGTGACGGCGCTCGTCGCTGCAAGGGCAGCAACGCGCCACCCCCGCCAACCCCCAGCAGCAGCAGCAGCAGATGACGCGATCCCGATCCACCTCCTCCCGGGGCATCTCCCGCAGCAGCAGCGCCACCAGCAGCCTCAGCGGCTTCGCCACCTTCAGACCATCCCCGTCGCTCCGAACGCCACACTGAACCTTTTGATTGAACAAATTTTGTTTCAAAATCTGTTGGTAAATATTAAATCTTCATTAGTTTTGAGGGAAATTCAAAAATTTTACCAATATTTCTAATTTTTTCTGCAAATTTTTTGTTTGACCTAAATAAATACATTTGATTTTAAAATATTTTAGAGGCCAACTGATTTTGAAATAAACAAAACTTAAGCTTTGGTGATAGTCCAGAAATCAAAAGAATTAATTCATTTGCCAGTCCGAGTTTTTCACCATCTGTTGGGTTAGTGGTTTTTTTTTCTTTTTCTTGCACAAACATAAGGCAGATTCATAGTAAATTTAATTAGCTTTAAAAATCCCTCAAATCCGATGATTTTTGAGGCTAAAAATTATGAGCAATGGTTAAAATTTTGTCACTCTTTTATTTGTTTTTAAGCTCTTAGCTGCTTTGGAAATCGTTTTTAGGGAAAAATGTTTCATACAAAACTTGTAGAAAATTTAATTTTGCACACGTTTTGTTTTTTACATTTCTTTCTAAATACAAAGCAAAAAAAGTTGTAAAAGTGGAACAGATGAAAAATGAGGTTTTTTATCATTGCTAACCTCAAACATTGGCTTAGAATGGCTCAATATAATAGAATGAATGATGAATCGTCCAAATTTATGTGCATATTCAAATCATTCAAGGAAACTCTCAATCTCAGTTTACCCCCAATACGCCCCAATAGATCGTGAAATATTCAGACAGGCGTGATGTTTTGAAACATTTCTTTCCTGGGCTCAGAAGGCGTTTTTAAATCAAATTTGCTCCGCCAATTTACTCGGAAAAAGCTTTCCGGCTGCGCTTGTTGGACGTTTTTAATCAGTTGGATGAAAGAAAAAAAGAAAGAAAGACAGACGTTGTTGATCGATTGATTGGTTATTTATTATCTCTTCGCATCTTGTTAATTGTTATCCATGATTGTATGTATAAAATGGTTGTGCTTTCACGCCCTCAATACTGTTTGGAAAGGTTGATTCACTATTTTTTTGTTTTTAAAAGAGAGAGACGGGAGAAAGATTTATTGAAAAATACGGTCGTGGGGAACAAGCGCGCAATTTTGGCGTTTTTCGCAGTGAAAAATAATATTTCATTGATTTCCGCGCTGCAAATTCCTCGGGTTTGGTGTTTTTCGCGGTAGATTTTGTAATTTACTAATTAGATCGTAGGCTAAAGTTCCTGGTAGACACTCGCCCCCTATGCCAAATTATCTTGATAAAAAAGGCACATCCACACGCAGACATCAAGTTAATAAACGCCTTTATTAACAGCAATTTTTGAATTATATAAAGAAAAAAAACTAAAACAAAATTACTTAAGCTTAAGATATAAAAATCATAGGCGTCTCTGCAAGAAACAAAAAATTTGATTTAATTGAGAGGATTAAATTTGAATAATTAATTACTAACTTAAATAAAGGACGCAAAAAGGAAAAATGCGTCTCTGATATTATGAAAAGATGAGTTTTACCTACCGTATAACTTGTAAGTCTAACTTCTATACCAAAGAGAAGAGGAGGCGACGACGACGATGCATAGGATTTATGCTTTAATGAAGTAATCACTAGGGAGTCAGAGAGAAATTTACTTACAAATCACGGACATAACCATAGAGTATAAAATAATCAAAGAGGCGAAAAGGAAAAGCTCCGTCTTTGATTAAAGCAAGGGATATTGAGCAAATAAAACTAGCCAGAAGAGAGACAGCCATATTTAATTCCGTCGTATACATGAGATTTGATTTTGCAAGCACAAATATACACAAAATTGTTTGCCATCCACAACAATTTCCATAATAAATCCAACATATCACGTTTCTTTTACTCAAGTTAAATCTTCAAATTTAGGTGTTAAAAAATCTGCATGTGAAAGGAAAATTGAAAGCTTTAAAAGAGATTTCCGTTTTGCTGAATGTTGAAAATTTACAAAAAAATTTAGATTGGAAACCTTTTATTTAATTTAGTTGGATTTATTTTGCATCACTTTGAGTGTCATTTTCACATATCACAAACCCCGAAACGTTGGTCTAGTTCAGTGAAAATTCAAACAGTTTTTCCACACATAAAACTCTGATATATCTGGATGTGAATTTATTGTGAATTTCGATCCGTCTAACAAAAGCAACTTTCTAGCTGAAGGCAGTCCACATTTTCTAGAATCTATCTTACAAATAATATTCTCTCCGCTTGAATATAATACTCGCCGGATTCTGTTGATTGCATTTTCACGCACACAATTATCAAAATAGAAGAAATTAAGTTCTTTGCTCATTTTAATGAGAGAAGTAGAAATAATTTCAGTGCCGCGCTTTTCAGATCTCTCAATTTTTTTCCCGATGATTACAATAAAAGAGCTTGGCTTTATATATGGATATGTAGGCTTATGATTTGCAATCGTAATCAAATTATATCAGTAGCGAGTGTACATTTAATCACAAATTTACACAAGTATAAAATATTAAAAAAATGAGTCCGTGGATGATTTTTGAGTGCCTTTTGCCCGCGCGATTTTGTATCATTAAATTTGCAGATTAAAAAGTAAATCTATATCTCAAGGTATTATACATAGATGTGTAGTTGCTTGACCCCGAAATATGAGTGAGTCCCTGAGTAAGTTTTTGCTAAGTTTTCCGCCATAACAATCAATCACGAAACCGTTTCGGGAGAGCAAAAGAAAGAAAGAAAGCTTGTTTGCGAGCGCCAAAAAACCGTTTGTAAATAATATGACAATACTTCTTCTACCCACACTCTAACCTAGGAAAAAAGTTAAACCCGTTTCTCTAATCTATTTGAAAGGGTAAGAGTGAGAAAATAAAACATGTAGCGACGAGACGAAAAAGGAGGGGTGGATTTAGGGAGGCATAAAATATACAAAAAATTAATCAGACAAAATATGGTGATACGTCCTATTTTTATCAAATGATAAGCTGATATATTTAACAACAAAAAATGAATTATATGCACTAGTTGAAGAAGTTATGAAGCCAAAAATACGATTCTTATTTGTTAAATCGCCAGGCTGAATTTCGTGAATTCTACTCGGTATGTAATTGTAAAACATCTTGCTATGTAAGGAGAAAATTAACTCTCGAATACTGAAATGCGAAATTTGTAATATTTACGCTTCTATAATCTCGGTGTGTTTTTATACACATAAAAAAAATGAAAACGCTGTTAATCTATATAATATTATTATATACGATCAAAAACTTTTTAAACCAGAAAAAAATTGAATCCACTTAAGTAATGTAAATAATATTCCACTTATGTAGCTGTCGGTGAAAATTATTGCGCATATACATCTCTTTTTAAAATCCAAACGTCTTGGGTGAGAACAAAAATTGAAGTAGCCTGTTGTCCAACCTCAAAGGAAATTGCGATGGAAAGAATTGTTACTATTATGCACTAGGAAACCAATTAAAGTGCGCTTGCTTGATAATTAAATCTTGATCTTGATGAAAAATGCCTCACAAATTAGCTAAGTTAACCTTTTCTGACCATTGTTGTCCATCGGATCCATCTTTTTACACGAAGTCGGATTGTAAAAAAAAATTTTGAAATTACACCAGGAGTGTAAAAAAATAAATGCCTTCGAAATTAGGCGCCAGTTGATTACATAGGTCGTGATTCTCTGCAACGCGCGTGAATTTGGAATAAAATCTAAGTGCATAAGACACATATGGAAAATTAAGACTAAATAAATAAAACTCGGATAAGTCTCCTTTGAAGAAATGTGTTTTATTTCAGACCTCCTTCTAAAATATTGCACTACGGTTATACAAAATTTTTCAATATATAAAAATCTAAAATAAAACATAACAAGAAGAATTTTAATCTCTGACATCTAGGCCCACACACATATTCACTTATTCCAATCAATGGAATCTTGATATTAAACTTAACAAAGTGGATATATCAAGTTTTATTGGGGACAAACCAAACCAATTTAAAATTTGAAATAAGTAAATTTGAAATTTAAATTTTTCAAGGAGTTTCTAGAAATTATTTTAATTAATTTTTATGAAAATTCCAAGTTTCTGTTTCATTTATTTACTCAAAACTGCCTGATTAAAAAATTGATATAAAATTTGTGGAAATGGTTTGTACCAAAATTTATATTGTGGAAACTCCACATTAATTTATTTTTTTTCCAAAAACAATTTAGGTTTTTCTCTCTCTATCAATATCCACTTAAAGTTAATTAATCTGAATTAATCTCTTTTCACATCAACAGAAAATTTTTGTAAATCTCTTTCGAAATTGTCCAGACCACTTTTCATTTTATCACACATTAAAGAATTGCACTCTCTGTTATATTTTGTCTAAAGTCAAAATCTGATTTCGCCCCTCGAGTTGAACTCGACGCCCTTGGCAAAGGTCGTGGGCGAGGGCGACATGCCTGCGTTGTCGTACGTGTAGTCGAGGGTGTTGTCTTCGGACGGGCTGCGTTTTTTGTAGCTCAAGGTCGGCGGCGAGCCGCCGCTGGTGTTCATCAGTCCGGAAACTGTGGTCGAGCACGTGGGCGGCGCCGTCGTGTCCATCGGCGCCGAAATCGCCAACTTCAGACCGGTCGACGGGTCTCCAACTTTTGCCTCGGGCTTCCCCGTTTTCTAAAAAGAAAAATAATTTACATACAATTCAAACAATTGCAGTGAAAAAATTTAAAAAAATCAAAATCAAAATTCTAAAACTACCTCTTTGATTCCCTCTAAAATGAGGTCCTGTTGAATTTTTTATTTCTAAATGAAATTGATTATTATTTATTTAACTTTTGTTGTACCTTGAGAGATCTGAATTTGGTCCTGATCAAAGGGACCAGACCGCCGTGGTGTCTTTTGGCGCGCGTGAGTTTGCAGAGGCCGAGGCAGATGAGCACGGCGGCCGCAACGCCCGAAAAGGCCATGCTGAGCCACGCCAGAACCTGCAGCTTCTTCACCTCCCCAGTCAGATCTGCAGAACAATCGGAATGTGATAATTTAATCTCAATTTTATAAAGATAAAGTTTTTGCTATTTTAAAAAAACCTTATGCACTGATTATATCAAGAATGACGTAATTTGATTGAAACAAGGAAGTGAACCGGAAAGTAACAACCACAGCAGACGACGTTTGAATCAAAAGAATAACGCAGTGTAAGGAAAGGGAATTCGGTCTCAGTGTTTGTTCATGAACGGCCAGAAATCACTTGACTTCTCCAAAACCTCTTTTTTAGGTAAGTTTTAAAACATATTTTTTAGAATAATTATTTTTCCGAGAAAAAAAATCTACAAGGGAAGTAATTGTTGAGCTAAGCAAGACGAAAAAGTATTTCTTTTATGAAAAGTCATTTTTTTTCTTCAAATTCCATAAAAGTAAAATAATATAAATTAAGCAATGTTTTTTGAAAAAAAAAAAACAGCTGATCATTTTACTTTAAAAATAAATGCTTCAAGCTGAAATATAAGTTGAAATAATAATTTTTTTGCGGTGTTAAAAATTTATGCATCAAAATCAGCTAAGATAGTTGAAAAATTGTCCAGATTTAGAAAAGACTAAAATCCAAAACAATCAAAAATTTGTGGAATTCTTTAAAAAAAAAATAATGATAATAATAATAATAAACCCATTTTGAGGAAAAGTCTATAAAGTTTTTTTCATATTTAATATTTCTAGTCAGAATGCCACTTTTCTGCAGAGATCCATGAGAATAAAATAAAAATATTTCCCATTTTGTGGATATTAAATTAATTTCTTGCTTAATTCTCTGGAATTTACTGTTAAATTGAGCTCTGATGTTGCTTTAAAATTCCTCACTTTAAAATATTTGGTAGTCAAATACTCAATAAATTTTATTTTCATCATGATAAACAAAAAAATTAATGAATACATATAAAAATTATGTTCAGTTAAAACTTAAACCGGATCAAATTCACGTCTGGGAATTCCAAACTCAAATTAATACATGACATCCGAGTTCATGAAACGCTTAATTAATCTCCATCTCAATTAAATCCGGCAGTGGTTATTTGCGTCATATGGTATCCTTGTACTTAAAACCACCAAGTATAATTAAAATTCAAGTTTAAGTCATTGAAAAGGTATCAAATTGAATCTTACTGTGCTTTTATGTGATGAAAGCAGATTTCCTAAAAATTGAGGCATGCATTTTTCCTCTTAACTATGAACAATTTTATTTTTTAGAATAATGGCGCAAAGAGATGTAAAGAAGGCCCTTCTTCACACAATAATTTTTACAATTAGGTCAAATTATTGAATAAATCTTTAAAAAAATATAGAGTAAAAACAAATTTTTGTGCTTTGAATCTCTTGAGAAATATAGAAACTAAATGAATCTAAATAATTTACAATTTCAATTTTTTTTCATTGCAGTCAATTTTCAAAAACGTCAAATCTTTCTATGTCTAGTTTGCTCTTATGCATTTCATTTGTTTGATAAATTTAAAATATGGAATATATTCAAAATTAATCGCACATTTTTCTTCATGACAAAATTATCTTCAAAGCCGAGATGCAAAAAGCAGATATTTGCTTACAGGGTGTGCAGCAAAAAGCAAACACACCACACGCGCGCCTTTGCTTTGTTTGTTTGTCCTCTTTTTCATGCACGCTTGTTAATTAAACCCGGCGACATTTGATAAATGAGTCACGCCGTTTCAAGTCGACAGCGACGCAGCAAGAGCTGATATGAATAATAATAATAAAAAAAACACGGTCTCTGTTTTATCTTTTATCAGAATTTTGTTCCTGCAAAATAAAACGATTTATATTTTCCTTTAATTTTTTTACTCAAATTAAATAAAACGTAGTTTGAAATAATGTTAAACCGGATATTAATTTACTGTGGGGAATTTCGCTTTTGAACGTTTGCTAGGGAACTTTGCTTATCATTTACGTCAGTATAAACAGCGTCTAGAAAAAAGCCACTATAATTAATCTTATTTCACTCTACAAATTTCCTTAAATTTTCATAATGTTTAAACTAAAATATCCAGTTCAGAATGGGCCAGACCTCTTCCAGGATATCTTCAACGCCGTCTCCAAATTTCAGAAGTATATTTTATAATTATTAAAATTTTTATTTAATCTCTACATAATTTTGCAAAAGGACTAAACCGGAATTCGTACACTCAACAGCAAAATGAAACGAGTAATTTTTACATGGACAGACGTCCGGTTACTTTGGCACACACAGCAGAGGTCTTCAGACCAACCCAACCGCCGGCTGCTCAACCGACGAGACCAGAAGGTTTATTTTTTAGATACCAAATTAAAAAAATATATAAAAAATTTCTTCAGGCCGTCTGAACTACACCAACTTGCAACCGGTGGATATTTACGTGGAAGCAATTTACTCCCTGCAAAATAGGGAATTCCCTGAATTATCCTTCAAAGCTGGAAATTATTTCAAAATAAAAGACGTACAAAGGTTTGACTTGAAACTATTTAAAATCAAAAGATACAATTATTACTTTGCAGTTTTCATTCAAATGTGAATTGGGTCGAGGCGGTAAATTTGTTCACTGGAGAGGAAGGACAGATTCCGAAAAACTACGTCAAAGTTGTTCGTCAAATAGAAACTGAGCCGTAAATTATAATTCAAAAGATTAATAAATCAAGTTAATTAAGAATTTAGGTGGTACTTCGGAACGCTGAGTCGGGAGGCGGCGACGGAATTGCTCATGTCCAACCTTTGCTCTCTGGGCAGTTTCCTGGTCAGGGTGAGCGAGCGGGACTCGAGTTGCCTGGCCCTGTCTTTGAGGGACTACGGACAAAACGGGGTGCAGAAGGTCAAGCACTTCAAGATCAAGGTCAACCACGAGGGACGGTTTTTCATCTCGGTTTACAATTCCTTCGCGACGGTCAAAGCGCTCATCGAGCACCACCAACGCGAAAGTGAGTTTCAAATCATTCGAATTAAAGAGAAAAATCAATTTTTTTTTTATTCCTGGATGTGAAGAAGAACAAATTTTTCAAAGTGGAATTTTAATTTGCAAAAATTGTTTAAGGGTTAAAAACAGGTATCATTTTTTTTTGCGCACAAACATTTGAACCCCAGGGAGTCTGTATTACTGTTCAGAACTAGTTAATAGCAATTTTTTGATCAGAAATTTCTAGAGATTCACATTTATTTGGCGGGAAAAATTTTACCTCAAATTATCCCTCCACGAGTACAAATTTTTCAATCACGATTTTAACGTTGGTAATGAAATTTGGCATTTTTCATATTCAGGAATAAAAAAAAAATTATTGTTGTCCGTGTTTAAAAAACTAATTACAGGGTTTCCAGGTGAACTGATAACTCTACCGTGCAAGTTGATGAAACCTTGTCCCAAATTGAGCAAACCCGAGCCGGAAAACGTGGCAGAAGTGCCCTTTCGAACCGAGTACGCGCGAGTCAACAAAACCACGTCGCAAAATCTACCTTCGGCGCCTTCTGCAATATCCGAAGTGGACAATTTTGATTTCAGTCTCTTCTCCACCCTGCCTTCCAATTTCAGTCTTCACGCCTTGACAGACCCTCATTTAAGTGGCCACTCGGAAGACGATTTTAAAGATTGTTTCTTAAATTTGCCTCGGACGCCGGAAATCCCTCCAAAACCTGTCGAAAGGCAACACGTAGAATTTACTGATGTAGCCCCAGTGCCAAGAACGAGATTCAATCTCGAAGTTAGTGATGATTTGGAACGATTCCTAGGAAATGGATTGCCTGAATTAATTCTGCCGAATATGGAAAATGAGCAGGGCAGCGAGGCCAGTGATAAGTTTGTCAAGCTGGATGAGAAATTAGGAGACGGATATTTTGGAGACGTTTGGAAAGGTGAATTCATTTAATTAAAACACTTATTTTTAAATACGAGATCACAGTAAAACTAAATAGATTTTAAGTTCATTTAGCTAAGCTAAATTGAGGATTATTTATAATTATTCTTCATTCATTGAATTTTTAAATTGAAATGAATTTTTTTATGTATAATTAATATTTAATATTCATTTCTTTATTTCTCTTTAAAAAAAAAGCTGTGATATTTTTTATCTTCAAATTTACTTATTTATTTAAGTATCAAATGATTAATTTTTTTAAATATTCATTACAGGATTGTGGAAAGGAAAGGAAGTGACTCTTATGATTATGCACTCAAATAATAATTAAAAAACAAACAATGAAATGCAAACGCTCTTTCAAATCATTAAATATTTTATAAATTAATAAAATTACGCAAAAAAAATTGATATTGCTCTAGCAATTTTCCATCTCTGTGATCTGTATATTGTATTTCAGTAATGCAAACAACCCTGTAATTCATGTTGAATGACCAGAATTTGTAAATCTATATTAAGTGTGAACAAGTTACAATAAACATCACTTGTAATTAATTGAAGGAAATATTAAAATGATATTATTTCCGGACATGAAAGGTCATTAATTGACCGAAAACTGCCGACTTGACCAGAAAAATGCGTCATTTTTTGCAACGCTCGAATAATTGAAGCTGGCCTACATAATGCGGATGTTTTACTTTTGATTACGCGCCGCTATAGTGAGCTCATGGTTTGTTATGAGGTGTGAGATGAGAAACAACGTCCTCTGTGCCCTTGAGAGAGCAGACGAAACGACCGATCAACGCGTATAAGGCGCCGAATACGGAAATGAAAACTCTTTATGTCATAGGCACTTTCCGGGAGAGATAAAAAATTGGTCATATTTATCATAAATAAAAAATACCTTTTAAACTGCTGGCGAGTCTGTCCGACTCTAATTTGCTTGCGAACTGCTCTCTCAGAATATAAGCTGAAACAATATAAGAGAAAAAAGAAGAATTAATGAAAATAAGAGTATAAAAATTATTCAAAATATCAATAAAATAAAAATTATGAAAATAACGATTTTTAATTTAGTAATCAAATTGGAATTAAAAATAACTATTTGAATATTAACTTTTTTAATCTCAAAATAAGTGCATAAATTAAAATTATTCAAAGTATTTTTTTTGTTAAAAAAGAAAATACTTTTGCGATTCCTTTTTTATTTTTAAGTAGTAATTTCAATAAAGTAGATTAATGATTCAAATACAGCATCCATGATTATAGAAATTTAATCAATTTAAATGGGAGATAAATACAGGAAAAAAGTTATAACTTCTTGGATTAGAGAATAATAATTTGTATCTATTACGGTGAAGCACGCTCGAGACACCGAATTTCTCATTGGAAGTCAGGTCAGCGTGACTTATAAAAGCGGCGATGACTCACACATGAATTCCCCGCCAATAACCTGATACCCCCTCCAAACCTGAACCTGGCGGCCGTCCAGAACCGCTGTTCCCTGACTGGCGTGTTTTTTTATTATTTGTATAATTTCAAATAAGGAATTGAAGAAATTTGTGAATTTTAAAACTCAAAATTTCGTCGCCTGACGTTGGATTGGAAGTAACGACCTTCAGCACAGGGAAAAGGTGAAACAAATAAAAATAAAAGTCAGGGAACGAACGGCCAGAGGGCCTTGAAAATTTTCACATGCACGCAATAACAATTTGTGAAGCGGGGAACGAGAGATGCGTCATGGAAGAGAGATTTTGCGTTTAATTTTAAGTTATAAATATTGATAAAAATAATAATAAATTTTTTTAAACCAAAAATATTTTTCTGTTATAAAAAATTAAATTTAAAAATGAAAAATTTAAATAAATAAATGATTTATTTTTGCACTCACCTTGGCACTTTTCGAAGCACTCGATTTGATTGTAATTGTGCGAGTTCTGGTCACAAATGGTGCTGCAGTCTGAGCAAATGTTGCCGAAACTGAAATTGCAAAACTGTCCGTCGGAGCAAGTGTGGTCGCCGCACCGCACCCTGCTTTGCACCAAAGGTCCCGCGTCGGCCACCTTCAGGGCCACCAAAATCAGCCCCAAAATCACTCGGCGCCGCATTTTTCCTTTTTCTTCTCCACTTCCGCCTATTTGAGAGTGAAAATCCTGTTGCTGGACGACGACGTCATCCTCCTTTCCCTTCTCCGCGACCAACTGAGCTGAGACTCGCCGCAGCCAGGTTGGCCGACCTGACTCTCTCTCCCACCTGCCGCCGACCGACCTGACTCTGGCGCGGCGCACCTTAATAAGCCGCTTTTCTCTTCTGTGCGTTGGAATATTGTGAGCGCGGACGGCCCGTTTATCACTAATTGTGCCCGCGACGACGTAGGTGGAGGGGATGTTATAAAGAAAGGCTCGCGCGCTCAGGTATGTTGTTATTGTGTGCAGTGCTCTCGGCTATCGCCGGTGCCGCCGCCAGGGCGCGCTTTAATTGCTGCGCTGTTAATTTTTCCATCAAGTGCGGAAGGTCAATGACACGAAATAAAATAAAGTGAGTTCGCATTTTTGTTGGAAAATTAAGAATTTTGAAAAATAACTTACTTCAATGTGTTTTCTTCTCTAAAAAAATAACTGGATAAGTTCTTGACAAAATTTATGTACCGATATGAAACAATTCATATAAATATATTTTCTGTTTTTTAATTTCTGCCTATTTTACATTTTTGTATGCTTAAAGACACATAATTTTTTTTATAAAATCCTATAAAAAAGGTTCCTTAAAATTTTCCTCTTTTTAATCTTTGAAGAAAGTTAATTGCTACAAATAGGCATTTGTGAAAGAACAATTTGAGGCTTATTGCTAGAATTAAACACAAAAACGCGGAATGACGTGATTATTTTTTTGTAGACAAATTATACTGATTTTAGGAGCTTTTTGTTTACTGCTTTTTTAAAACAACTTTTTAAATTTTTACAAATGAAAAATGAGCGAGTCCGATATGGAGATTTTATGTTTGATTGCTAAAAGTAAAAAAACTTCTTTTTTTAGATCTTACAATTATTTATAGAAGTTCTTGCAGTTGTTCATTGTTTTTGTGGAACCTTTTGCACTCGAGGTGCTCATTTTTTGATGAAGTAAAATTCCTCAGTGAAGATGAGCAACACATTATTTTTTTTCTACGTAATACAGATACAATAATTATGTTCATCTTCACCAAGATATCTGGATTTTATATCATTAAAAAAATCTTACAATTAATTTTTATAAAATTAATATTGTTCTTAAAATAATTGATTGAATTCGTCAGTTTTAACTGTTGTGTGTCTCACAATGTATGTATGATTAATTTTAAGTGGAGGACTCATATTTTCAATCCCAAGATAATATAATCATAATTTCGGCAAAAATTAATGATTTCTTTTGAAACATCTCGTGCAAGGACGATTCCGGCGATGCAATTTTTTTGGAAATTGTAAATGAAGATTTCGCAAAACATAGGTTAATTTTAATTTTCAATTCAAATCAAATATTTGTAACAGACTATAGTTTAGATATCTTTCAAGGCTTAATATTTTAAGATTTTGTGAGCATTTAAAGTTTAAATATAATTAACAATTTTTCTTTTACTTTTAAAGTTCAAAATATACTCATATTTAGACTGCACATTTTTTAAAATTAATATTATATATCATGCTAAATTGAGTTGGCCATGATTTTGAGTCCTTGAGATTCTCTTCAAAAAGGACCGATACAAGATACAAGATAATTTCCTATACTACGTTTTAAATGATATCACTTCTTCCTTATAAGTGGCACGCTTTCGATTGATAACAAGAAATATTAAAGGCCCCTGTTGAGCTGCTGATTTACTTTTTCTTGATTCATGAGCAGCAGTACTTTCAAGATTAGCTCAAGATCATTCAAAATTCTTGTCGGCCGTTCCCTCGTCGAAATCATAAACTTGGTGAGTGTCGGCTTAAAACTTTTTACAAGGACTCAATATAAACTTGTTGGTGTTTCGTACATTTTGTAATGTTGGTTGGTTGGAAGTAAAAATCCGTAATGATGTGAAACATACGTCCATATGTGAGTGTGACCAGCCTTTTATTTAAATTCATCAACACCTGATTTTCTGAGTTCAGCATTTCAATAATCTTGCATATTTCTATGCGCAATATTAGCATAAGAACTCTACATGCCAACATGTCATTACAATAAAAAAAAAATTATAATTAGCTATCAATGTATTAAGATAAGTAAAGTCTAATTGGACTAATTTTCCACACACTTAAATCAATTTAATAGTTTTGCTTTTCTTCTTCTTTAAATCCAGATAATCGAACAGATTTTAAACATTTTCATAACAGTTACAAACTAAAATGCGATGAAAATGGGAAAACTGGATTATTATTCTCTATTATATTTACTGCCATCGCAAGAATAAAAAAACTCCAATTCTAAATGCTTGGTCATAACTCTGCTTCTTGCAGCTTGTAAGTAGCTTTGATCATATGTATAAGATAATAATCTATTATCTAGAAGTACCGGACTTTGTCATTCGAATTAAATTGGGAGAACAAAAGCTTTGCCAATCTGTAATTGCTCACTGACGCAACTCATTTTTTCTAGATAACGATTAATGGTAAGGAAAGATGATTAAGATTAAACTCTATATAAGTAAAAAATATGAGATCACGATCACTTTCATTTTTATTTAATATAAGAAAAATACCGTCAACAATGCTGCAACGTGCAAAAGTTTCTAATTGATACCATGAGAAGATTCAAGAAATTGACCCTTTTCCCCCAATCTTATATCACAAAAGTGTCTTTTTTTGGCAACGCCACGTCTAAAAATAATATGTATACTTGATCTTTCAATTTAGAAAACTATTTTACAACCATTTACCACGCTTTGCCCAGATTTTCTGATTTTAACAGTCTCAAAAGGCATAATTATATATTAAAATAATTTTAATGGGATAGAAATTTTGCTTTAAAATAATGTATGTATGTTTATGTTTGTTACTTTAAAAAATTTTATAGAGGGATCGGCCATATATCGGTCTTAAACTGCTGTTCTCATCATACAATCATTGTAAAATTTTATCCTATAACATATTCTTAAGCTGGGAGGGGTGAGCAAATGCCCATGCGCAGACTGGACATTGCGACTATATGGCCAACAGTGAGCATGAATTTGTGCTAATGCGGGGGAGATAATGACCATTCGTAGAAAGCGCCTGGTCATTTTCGCTTCCCCTCCCCCCCGGCTAGAGTTGACAAGTGCAACTGAAAAATAAAATACATTGAATTTTTCAGGATTCTTTATGCCAGTTGGCATGTAAAGACTAGAAATGGTTGTGTCAATCGACGAAATTGTGGAAAAAGGTTTTGATATGTTATGGATTCCGGAAAATTTTACCTACTTGTATTCCATATATTTAGGTTCAAAACTTCAGAATCCAAGCCAACCGGCGAAACTGGGATATTTTGAATCTCTAAAAAATAATGAAAATGCGGATAAGTATAAAAAATTTTAATTTTCACTTCGTCATCAATGGCCAATTTGTTTTGTTTTTATTTTTAGCGTCTTTGTGCTCGTCGTGCACTACGACTTCAAAGGTGGTAAAAATGATTGGCCACGACCTGGTGACGAGCTTGACGTACAGAATCTGAGAAAAACGTTTGAGGAGGACAGAAAATGCAGATTTCGCGAGTGTTCACCGAAAAAGGAGGACCTGCTTGCTTTGCTTCAAGACGAAAAAAAACTGAAAAATTATTTTGGTGCTAATCAAAGTAAAAGTCTTAAAATACACATTGATTTTAATTTAAAAATTTAAACTATAAATTTTTGCAGACTTAGAGCTGGCGATTTTCTTTATGATCGTTTTGTCCCACGGTGCAGAGTGCGGAGTTATTTACACGGACCATTTTCATAGCTTCGACTCGAAAGTTTACGAAACTTTCACCACAAAGGAACTCTTCACCTCTTTCGGGCAAGTGTTCCGAAATTCTCTTAAGCTGGTGTTTCTAGGGGTAAATTTGTTAATTAATTGGTTATCTAAACAATCATGACGTTTAAGAAATATAAGCCTTGCAGAGGACAACAAGAAGACAGTGTTTTTCATCCTGGTCAAGCCAGTGATCTTACAATAAACCAAAACTCGAGCAGAGTTTCCTTTGAGCCAAAGATGCGCAACCTCATCATCTTCTATTCAACTGTTGAAAGTAGCATACACCAATTAATCGTAAAACCTTTGAATCGTAACTTTGGTATTTTTAGCAACAAGATCATGCAGGGACAAAAGAACAGGCACTTGGCTTGTCGCAGGTTTGTGCGAAGAATTGAATAATATGAAGCAGAACAAGAGTGTTGTAAAAGTTCTGACTGGAGTCCAGAACAGAATTCACCAAGAGACGACTGGTCCGTTTAGGTTGAGTGGCCAGACGCCGGAACTTAAAATTTTCTCCTGCGACAGGAAATTCATTTTTCAACATCCATATACGTATTTGCGAATAGTTTGTCTTGTAAAATTTTGGAAATTAAAAATTTATGAAATGCAGAAATAATACCGTGGCTCGAAGTCCTTCAAACCTTGGAACGGACGCCCAAGGCAAAGAGGGAAGCCCAGAGGAGGATAAGCAGAGGTCGATTACCTTTGAGTGGTGGAATTCACAAACAAACAATGTCCTTAGAGGCAGAAGAGCAGTGATTTTCCACCAATGGGAAAAAAACGAATATTTAAGAAAACTGGAAGCTGCTCTGGTTACGAATCTCGGCTTTGAAACTATCAATGCAAAAATTGATGCAGCAGGACTTGAATACTACTTCAAAAAATCAGGTTTAATTTGAAAATGTGGGTTTAATAAAAATATTTGATTTTAGATTTTTATAGAAAAATCTTGGACTGATTACGGGTGTTTCGCTGTCTTTTTCTTTGCCGAGATAGCTGAGGGAGACGAACAAGTTTGCATTAGTTTGAATGAAAACGATAAAGTTCCAATCGGCAAGTTGATCTTCGGATTGCTGGGGCCGAAAATCGAAGACTGGATTGGAAAACCAAAACTTTTCTTCCTTATTGATACTAAATCCACGGATGCGGATAGTGCAGGAGTAATAATGTTGAGATAATTTAGAATTTTTTCAAGTGGTTGCATTATTTTTTAGACTTCAATGCCCAGATTTAGTGATTTTCTGAGAGCAACCAATTACAGTGGTTGGCTTGTATTCATCCTTCAAAATACAAGTAAGTGATGCTAAATAATGGTGTAATTAAATTTTTTTAATTATATTCATCACAGATTTAAACGAAAACTTTCTCGAGATCTTCCAGAGCCACGAAATTAAGCACGAGAAAAGCCTTCAAGATAGCCTCTATGAACTAATAACAGAATTAAAAAAGGGCGCATCATATCAATCATATGGAACCGAAGCGATGATGGTTTCAACATTGCCTCACATGATTTGTTTCCAAGACTTAACGCAAAATTTTATTCAGCCAAGATTCAATGTAGTAGGAAAGGGATTCGAAAACATGAGATATGTGGATTGGGAATATTTATTGGAATCAAAACAAATTAAAGAAGAGGAATGTATCTGGCTCATAACTTCACTTCCAGGATCTGGAAAGTCGACGGTAATGCGCGAGTTGGCTTTTGAACTGCAAAGAAGGTTGAAAGGCGAAGTAAAAGTATACCTGGTTGTTCTTTTCAATCTTTACGAACATTTCCCTGCTAAAAACAATGGAAAAATTTCCCTTGCTTCTATTGTTTCCTACGCGACTGGAACCCGAGAGTTGGAAATTCAAAATCTCATAGAGCAGAAGAAAATAATGTTGATATTTGACGGTTTTGATGAAATTTGTCCCTATTACCGAGATCAGGTGCTTCAAGTTTTAGTTGAGGCGGCGAAAGAAAGATTGCCTATTTGGATTTCCACGCGACCGCACGAGGAAAATGCAATTCATTTAAAGCTCAGAAAAGGAAACGAATTTCGCAAAGTACAAATTATGCCTTTTGACGATGAGCAACAAATCGGGTATTTACGCATGATTTCAAAACAATCTTATGATGAATGCAGACGTCAGATCGATTTCTTCAGAGAAAATGGATCAAAAGATATTCTGGAAAACCCTCTTCACTTAAAAATGATCGCTGAACTCAGTGATTTTGCAAATGAATCAAAGCTAAATCTGTACGAAATCTACGAAAAAATTGTCGAAAAAAAGCTTCAGTTTGCGCTAAGTATAGAATTTACTGGTATTAAATTGGAGGCAGAAAAAATTTCAGCCAGAAAGGAACTAAAACGTTTTGCTGTCAAATATTTATGCGACGGCAAAAGTGGAATTTTGAAATATCCTAAAAATGGAATAGCAACTGTCACCAACAAACGCACCCAGTTCGTTCATCAAACATTCGCAGAATTCCTCGCAGCTACGCATTTCATCGATTGTTTATTCTGTGAAGACGAAAAAATGCCCTTCGATATTTTGAAAGAAGGATTCCATCAAGTGCGCAAATTTGTCAACTTGAATATTTCCTCAAGTTGTGACGAAAGAACAATTTTATTAATATCATTGGAAAAATACTTGAAAAAAAGTTTAACAAAATCAAGTCTCGAAAAAGTTATCCTCAAAGAATTTCTAGATAATTTTTCCATCGTCGCAGCTAATCTGGTTACTTTCAATTCAACGAATGAAGCAAATGAATTAAATTACGTTACATCCGACGATATTTTGGCGTTGGCTAGCAAAAATGACGAAAACTTTGTTTTGCGTCTTTTATATAAAGGTGCATACGAAAAGTTGGCAGATCCAAAATCTACTGCAGTAAAAATGCTCGCAGGTGCAATCGAAAATAATTTTGTGCTTCTATTTTCAAAAATAGAAGGAAAATGTGCCAATCTGATGGAGTTGGTGGAGAGAAATGCAACATTGAAATGTGCCGTGCTTGTAGCGGCTAAAAGAAACCATCACAAACTTTTGCAGTTGGTGCTCGAAAAAGGAATTATTGATGCAATTGATCAGGATACTTTACAAGGGGCACTGAAAATTGCTGTAAAAGAGAACAGTACCAAGTGCGTTGAGCTTCTTATTGAACATGGTGCTCGGACTGTTGACCTAAATACTTTTACATGGGATTTAAACATCGAGACGACGGAAGCACTGCTCAAGACAAAGGATGAGCCGTTGTTAAAATTAGCGTCAAAAATTTTCAATCGTTCCCTAGATACATACAATGCTGAATTGGCAAAATATTTGTTCCAAAAATTTGATGTTTCTGAAAATGCGGATTTTGAAGTGAGCATCTGGGCCTTGCTTAGTGTAGCAAGATGGGATGAATTTCATCACAACACAGCTGAGATGTTGTGTCGCTCACTTGTTGAAAAACGTCGATTGCAAGTACGTGTAAAGAACATATATGGATGGAATGCTTTTCATTTTGCAGCCAGCGCAGGAAATTTGGGGTTGGTCAAATTTTTCCTCGAAAAAGACCCTGTGTTGACCGAAACCTTATCGCATAAAGGGGAAAACACCATGCATTACGTATTCACGAGTCACTTTGTCGCTGATCCAGTAAGAAAATTTGAAATGAGCAAGTTTCTCCTTCATCGTGATGCTAAAATGATCAAGCAAAAAACTGCAGAAAACAAAACTATGCTCCATTTGACAGCGGCAGAAGGAAACTTTGATATGTGCAAATGGCTAGTGGAAGAAATAGGCCTTGAAGTGAACGCCGTGGACGACGATGGATGGAACGCTATGCACTGCGCTGTTTCTAATCATAACATGAAACTCGAACACTTGGAATATTTTCATGGCCTGAATGAAGATCTGGTCAAACAAAAAACGAAAACGAATAAAACTGTGCTCCATTTGGCCGCGATATTAGGAAACCTTATTCTGTGCAAATGGCTGGTGGAAGAAATAGAACTAGAGGCGGACACCGTGGACGATGATGGATGGAACGCAATGCACTACGTTGCTTCTAATCATAACGATAAACTTGAACTCTTGCAATATTTCCATGGTTTGAATGCAGATTTGGTCAAACAAAAAACGAAAACAAATATAACGATGTTGCATTTGGCATCCGCAAGCGGAAAACTCGATAAGTGCAAATGGCTGGTGGATGCAATAGGACTGGAGTTGGACGCCGTGGATGATCATGGATTGAACGCAATGCATTGCGCTGCTTATAGTTTTAATGATCTTGAAGTTCTTGAAATCATGAATTATTTTCATAACCTCAATGCAGATTTAATGAAACAAAAAACAAAAATGAATGAAACAGTGCTGCATTTTGCTGCGAGAACAGGAAAAATTGATGCGTGCAAATGGCTAATTGAAGAAAAAAGCCTAGAGATAGACGCTGTGAACAAAAATGGATGGAACGCTATGCACTTTGCTGCTTCATCTTATCAGTCAGTTGAACTTGAATTCTTGGAATATTTGCATGGTTTGAGTAAAGATTTGGTGAAAGTAAAAACGAAAGAGAATGAAACAGTGCTGCATTTTGCCGCGAGAACAGGAAATTTTGACGCGTGTAAATGGCTAGTTGAAGAAATAGGCCTTGAGGTGTGTGCTGTGGACAACCATGGATGGAACGTCATGCACTTTGTTGCTTCTTCCTCATTTGTGGAACTTGAAATCTTGGAATATTTGCACGGCCTAAATGCAGATTTGGTCAAACAAAAAACGATAAAGAATGAAACAGTCCTGCATTTTTCCGCGAAGGAAGGAAAACTTGTTATGTGCAAATGGCTGGTGGAAGAAATAGGACTAGAGGTGGACACCGTGGACGACGATGGATGGAACGCTATGCACTGCGCTGCTTATTATTCGTTGTTTGAATCTGAACTTATGGAATATTTGTATGGCCTGAAGAGAGTTATGGTGAAACAAAAAACAAAAACGAATAAAACAGTGTTGCATGTTGCGATGGAAACAGGAAGACTTGGTGCGCGCGAGTGCAAATGGCTAGTGGAAGAAATGGGCCTAGAAGTGGACACAGTGGATAAGGCTGGCTGGAACGCTATGCACTTTGCTGCATCATCTTATCGGTCAATTGAACTTGAACTCTTGAAATATTTGCATAGTCTGAGAGGAGATATGGTGAAAATAAAAACGAAAACGAATGAAACAGTGCTGCATTTTGCCGTGAGGACAGGAAAACTTGATGCTTGCAAATGGCTAGTGGAAATAATAGGCTTAGAGCTAGAAGCTGTGGACGACCGTGGATGGAATATAATGCACTTTGCAGCTTCAAGTTCTAATCATAACAATGAACTTGAAGGTTTTGAAGTGTTGGAATATTTGCATAGCCTGAATGCAAATTTGGTCAAACAAAAAACGAAAATGAATGAAACTGTCTTGCATTTTTCCGCGAAGGAAGGAAAACTTGTTGTGTGTAAATGGCTGGTGGAAGAAAAAGGACTAGAGGTGGACACCGTGGATGACGATGGATGGAACGCTATGCACTACGCTGCTTCTAATCATATCGATAATCTTGAACTAGTGGAGTATTTGCATGCCCTGAATGCCGATTTAGTAAAAACAAATACGAAATCAAATGAAACAAAGCTTCATTTGGCTGCGAAGGAGGGGAAAATTATTATGTGCAAATGGCTAGTGGAAGAAATAGGACTGGAGGTTGAAAACGTGGATGAAAATGGATGGAACGCTTTGCACTGCGCTACTTCTAATCATATCGATGAACTTGAGCTCGTGGAATATTTGCATGGTGTAAATGCAGATTTGGTCCAACAAAAAACAAAAACGAATGAAACTGTGCTGCATTTGGCCGCGAAAGTAGGTAAACTTATAACGTGCAGATGGCTGGTGGAACTAATAGGACAAGAGGTGGACGCCGTGGACGACGATGGATGGAACGCTATGCACTGCGCTGTTTCTAATCGTAACGATAAACTTGAGCTCGTGGAATATTTGCATGGTTTGAAGGCAGATTTGGTCAAACAAAAAACAAAAACGAATGAAAATGTGCTTCATTTGGCTGCGAAAGAGGGGAAACTTATTATGTGCAAATGGCTAGTGGAAGAAATAGGACTAGAGGTTGCAAACGTGGATGAAAATGGATGGAACGCTATGCACTGCGCTGCTTCTAATCGTAACGATAAACTTGAGCTCGTGGAATACTTGCATGGTTTGAAGGCAGATTTAGTCAAACAAAAAACAAAAACGAATGAAAATGTGCTTCATTTGGCTGCGAAAGAGGGGAAACTTATTATGTGCAAATGGCTAGTGGAAGAAATAGGACTAGAGGTTGCAAACGTGGATGAAAATGGATGGAACGCTATGCACTGCGCTGCTTCTAATCGTAACGATAAACTTGAGCTCGTGGAATATTTGCATGGTTTGAAGGCAGACTTGGTCAAACAAAAAACTAAAGCGAATAGAACTGTCCTCCATTTGGCCGCGAAAGCAGGTAAAATTATAACGTGCAGATGGCTGGTGGAACTAATAGGACCAGAGGTGGACGCCGTGGACGACGATGGATGCAACGCTATGCATTGCGCTGCTTCTAATGATAACCTTGAACTCTTGAAATATTTGCATGGCCTTAATGCAGATTTGGTCAAACAAAAAACAAAATCAAATAAAACCGTGCTGCATTTTGCCGTGGCTACAGGACACCTTTATACGTGTAAATGGCTAGTGGATGCTATAGGACTGGAGGTGGATGCTGTGGACAACATTGGATGGAACGCTATGCATTTTGCTGCATCTCATTATAACATTGAACTTGACCTTTTTGAATATTTGCACGAAAAAAATCTTCAATTGATCGAGAAGAGGACCGAAAGAAGCGAAACTTTGCTGCACATTGTCACCAAAAATAAAGAAGGGAAAGTTGAAATTTACAATTGGTTGGTCAGAAAAGGCATTGATGCGTCGGTGCAAGATTCAGATGGAAAAACAGCTTTGCAAGCGGCTCATCCACGTTTTCTTGGAAAGATTTCTGAGTATAAAAATAGCGTTTAAAATTTAGGAGAAGAAAACCTTTTCTACTTTTATATTAGGGCTTAGGGTGTGAAATCGAATACAGTTTAATACTAAATAAATTTTTTTACATTTTAGTGTGGCTTCTTTGCTTTTTTATATCAAATTTAATGTCCCCCTTAACGAATTAAATACGCAATTCCGTTGTAAAAATAAAAACCAGATAAAAACCATATCAGATTATACTAATAGAAAAGTTAAATTCTCATACCATAAATATCATACATCGCCGAGGAAAACATATGCGTGGATTTTATCAGGGTCCACTCTCGTCACAACAATCAGAGCAAATCTTTATTGTTACCGGTATTTTGATTAGGTACTTATTTTTTTTTCTCAATCAGATAGCTCAAGCAACTCTTATTTCGTTGCTAATTAATTTACACAGAAAGAATTGAGATATTTGAGAGCTTTCATTTCAAAGTAAATAAAAATATCTATGAATATTTTTATCCTAATTTTGACATGAAAACATTTTTACTAATATACTAAAAAATAGAAAACCATGATTTTCGGATCACAATAACTTTTTTCCTGTCAGATTTAAGTGGATTTAAGATAGAATGAGTAATGTCATCAAATTGTCCCCTTAATTTCTTCTTTTGGAACATGTATCGCCCATGGTGACTAGGTCAAAAAATTCATTGACCCTGGTGCACTGTGACCTTTTGGAGTTTTTTTGGAAGCGTGTGAAACAGAAATGGAAAGAAGCAGGGTTTCGGAGCGGTGAATTTAAAAACGCTCCTTCGCTCCTTGGAGCGTTTGAGGAGCGGCAGAACCGCTCCTGCGCTCCCAGGAGCTTTTGAGGAGCGGTACTAACCGCTCCTTCGCTCCTAGGAGCAAACGCTCCTCAGTAAAAACGCTCCTTGCGCAAAGAAGCGCTCCAAGAGGATTTGTGTCAAATTCCATTATTTTTTATTTATAAGGGACTTAAGTCATATTAATTAAAGAAAAAATTCAATTTATTATGTAAATCATTATTGAATATCAAATTTTGAGATAACAATAATCAAAAATTTAAAAATATGTAGCCTAAACAAGTATAACTTGCCAGGCAAACATAAATCAGAAAGAGGTGTACTCGTAATTTCTACTTTAAAAAATATTCCTGTCATATTTTGAAGGGTTCTTTCTTGCAACTCAGTCAGTTGTTATTAAATAGGATTTTAAAAATATAAAACTCGACCCCCAAAATTGGACGATATTTCCGCGTGTAGTTTATCCTAACCATAACTTGTATGATTTGTACATGTTTTCGTGCGACCTGAGAGCTGAGAGGTAGCATAAAGAAAAGGGTTAAGGAGAGGCAAACAAAAGCACATTGATGGCATATGACAACTCCAAGACCATTTTCTTCGAATTGAGAATCCTATTTAACAATTGATTGAACACGTAGAATATGACAAGGGTGCAGGCGCGCTTGCTTTTTAAAAATAACATTCTCTATTTTTTCTCAGCAGGCATACCTTTAAATCACATGATATCTTGATACTTTACGTGGAAAACTAAATAGAAATATTAAGTTAAAGAGGGACTGCTTTAATATTTTTAAGGTTTGAACCTACGGGAGAGTGTAAAAAAATATGATGTGTCGATATGCCGCTGTAACATGTTTATTCGGTAAGCGCGTAGAAAAATAGATCCTCCAGGCACGTGCTTTTCGCGGCATGGAGGTTCATATAAATCTGAACCTGAGTCCTTAGCCAATCAGAGGCGACCAAAGGCCTCGGCGATATCACGAGCTTCTCTGATTGGTTGAGCGTTTGCGCATGACCGAGTGAGCAGCTTTCGTCATGGCAGCCGTGAAAACACCCGAAATTTTCACCAAACGACAATACTTTGAAGCGGATTTTCGTCGGCAAAAAAAAGAGCGCCGGCCGAATCGACCACGGAATTTGATAACGCACATCTTGCTTCATGATTTTCGTGGATGGCATCGCGTGGCACTGTCAAGTAAGCGAATTATTTTGGCCATTTTTGGGGTGACTTTTCGAGTTCTTGTCTTTGCGCTACACACGTTTTTTACAGACAAAAATAAGCACTTGTCGGCAATTTATTTTTGAGGAAATCTGCTTTAGGGCTCAATAAATGGGAATAGTTTTTATTTATTTATTTGTTCATACTTGAAAACACTTGCTCATATCATTTACTTTTGACAGATACTTGAAGAATGCAAAGCCGACCCAGTGAGATTCGAGACTATGTATAATGCTGCTGTGTCCTCATAAATCCTGCTGGCCCTGCTGCTGCCCTGGAACTCCTGGAAGTCGATGGTGCTGTTGCTGCCCTGGAAGTCTCTGCTGCTGCCCTGAGGGTTACTCACTCCCTGCAATAATTTGCAGCAAAGCAAGTGAGTTCGTCGGAAAATAACACGAGGGAGATGTGTTTTGTAATATTTTATTATAATTTGTTTAGAAAATTATTTTATTTTTCTATTAGTTCTCACTTTTTTTTGCATTATATAGGTGGACAAAATGTGGCAGCAGTGGTCTCAACTTCTTGACAAAAATCTCTACCCAGAGGGCCGGCTGATTTTTTGATTTTGGTTTTGCGATTGTTTTGCTTTTATGCGATGTCTCTTTGACAAAATGAAACTTAGTGAATTATTTGTTTTCTCAGATTATGCTTTATCCAATTTTCCAATAATTCTAAATGTCTGTCTCTTCATATCGTACAATCGTAAACTTTTGTTGTCGCTGAATTTTCATTGACCTGAGAGATCAACATGTGCTATATTTGTGATTGAAAAATTTGCCTCTAAAATGAAGGGCTACATAATAAAACTCTTTGTTGTAGAATTCTTGTTTCTTTATTTTTATAAAAGAAAATAAAATCTTTGATTTGATGCAATAAATATAATATGTTTATTTCTATTATAGTTATACATGTCTATAAATGGAGAAAATGTCATATTCTGTTTTATTAATTGACATACAAATCAATCCACATTATTATTGGAGTTGATCTGATTCTAGTATAAATACAAAGAGTTACATTATTTAACACTGTGTTCTAGAGGCAAATTTTTCAATCAAATATTTATAGCACATGTTGATCTCTCAGGTCAATGAAAATTCAGCGACAACAAAAGTTTACGATTGTACGATATGAAGAGACAGACATTTAGAATTATTGGAAAATTGGATAAAGCATAATCTGAGAAAACAAATAATTCACTAAGTTTCATTTTGTCAAAGAGACATCGCATAAAAGCAAAACAATCGCAAAACCAAAATCAAAAAATCAGCCGGCCCTCTGGGTAGAGATTTTTGTCAAGAAGTTGAGACCACTGCTGCCACATTTTGTCCACCTATATAATGCAAAAAAAAGTGAGAACTAATAGAAAAATAAAATAATTTTCTAAACAAATTATAATAAAATATTACAAAACACATCTCCCTCGTGTTATTTTCCGACGAACTCACTTGCTTTGCTGCAAATTATTGCAGGGAGTGAGTAACCCTCAGGGCAGCAGCAGAGACTTCCAGGGCAGCAACAGCACCATCGACTTCCAGGAGTTCCAGGGCAGCAGCAGGGCCAGCAGGATTTATGAGGACACAGCAGCATTATACATAGTCTCGAATCTCACTGGGTCGGCTTTGCATTCTTCAAGTATCTGTCAAAAGTAAATGATATGAGCAAGTGTTTTCAAGTATGAACAAATAAATAAATAAAAACTATTCCCATTTATTGAGCCCTAAAGCAGATTTCCTCAAAAATAAATTGCCGACAAGTGCTTATTTTTGTCTGTAAAAAACGTGTGTAGCGCAAAGACAAGAACTCGAAAAGTCACCCCAAAAATGGCCAAAATAATTCGCTTACTTGACAGTGCCACGCGATGCCATCCAAGAAAATCATGAAGCAAGATGTGCGTTATCAAATTCCGTGGTCGATTCGGCCGGCGCTCTTTTTTTTGCCGACGAAAATCCGCTTCAAAGTATTGTCGTTTGGTGAAAATTTCGGGTGTTTTCACGGCTGCCATGACGAAAGCTGCTCACTCGGTCATGCGCAAACGCTCAACCAATCAGAGAAGCTCGTGATATCGCCGAGGCCTTTGGTCGCCTCTGATTGGCTAAGGACTCAGGTTCAGATTTATATGAACCTCCATGCCGCGAAAAGCACGTGCCTGGAGGATCTATTTTTCTACGCGCTTACCGAATAAACATGTTACAGCGGCATATCGACACATCATATTTTTTTACACTCTCCCGTAGGTTCAAACCTTAAAAAAAATTAAAGCAGTCCCTCTTTAATAATAAACAAATATTTTCTAAGTGAATGAAACACCTGTAGTTATTTTTAATTTCATGATTGAGTTTTATGTTTATTTTCGTTAATTATTGCCTATTAAATTTGAAATTCATAATGATAAATATATACAACAAACAATTAAATGAAAACATCAAGATGGATCGTGTCGCTTAATTATCTTAATTTCTCGTCATCTCTAAAACATTTTTCCATCTTAATCGAATAATCACGCACAGTCATTGATTTGGAAAAAGTTACACATAAAACAAATCATCACCTTTTATACACAAAAGAGATCAAATTAACAAAAGCATGAACAATATATTTGATGGATTTTATGCGCGAGGAGTGACTTTTTAATCTTTGGGATGAGTACTTTTTACACGTAGTTTGCAATTATGTTGTGTGTGTTACTTTTATTACTTGCTGCGCTATATTTACAGGATTTTCGTATATATTTTTCGAGTCTCACGAGAGAGTATTTTCCTTCTCTAACTTATTGGCTAATCTTCTTCTTCTTGTCCTCATATATTCAGATCATTAACAACATTTCCTTGCTCATTGTTCTCAGAAATCAACGTAGGATAAATCTCAATTAATCCAAAGTACACTCACATTATATCTCGTTAAATATATTGTAACTTTTGCTCGCAAGTTTAACAACTTTCGGCACTTATTTGATATTTTCCGTATCTTTTTACACGCCTTAATCTTAAAACGAGTTCAGTTTTGTCAGTAAACAACATTGATAGTGGTATATATTTTATATATTTTTTATTCATGAACTTTGCAAATAATGCAGTTGTTGATATAGTTTTTTTTTTTAATCCTCACACACGCACATGTAATTGGACTTGAACGACAACACCGACGAGTACTCTGATGATTCAATTCGAGTAAAGAGAGAGAATTAAAGAGTTCGATATTATTTTACGCGATTAATTTCGTGTGTATTTATAATCAAGTTCATATTTTCGGGGGGAAATCTTTGCAAAGTCCGAAAAGTTATTCAAACCTCGGACTTTGTAAATTTCTGCAACATTTAACAAGGAAATCACATGTATAGGCACATTCAGAAGAGAGAAAGTCGAAAATACCCTGATCGAAAAACAGCAGACACATGAGAATTATTATTATTATCGAAAGAAGTCAAATCTTTGATTGGTATTTTAGGTATAGATTTTGAAGAAATAATGGAACAATATCGAGTCTGTAAGGACCAGTCTCATTTTGGAAAAAACCTTGAGAATTTCTTTTCGAAATGGAACGGATTTGCAGTTCGTACAACAGACAAAAACATGCACAACAGTGGGGAGAACATTTATAGCCGCCTGAGGATTTTAATTTAAGTGTTTTTCCTACGATGAGACGATGAAACCGACATTGATGAATGCAAGGAAGTTCCGTGTGGAATGTGTTGTTTCCGATTTTTGCCACTCCGGTCCGCATTTCATCGTGGGCTGGAGTGGCAAAACTTTTTGTTGATACGTGAACATTCATTATTATTATTTAATGTAAACTTGTAACGATCACAAACACGTATTTTTATATATTTGTGGATGTTTGCAACAAGGGGCAGATCAACAGCATTCATCCCAACGACCACTATTTTTGCGCTAATTATGTCTTTCACACGTATTTACAAAACACCGAGAATCACTGCTTTTATATCATTAAATTCAACACGTTATTTTGTAAATATCACCGTTATTACTTCCGCAGAAATTAGTACTTTTTTTACATATCCAGCAAACGATCTCTCATCTTTTGTTTTTCCCAGGGAATGTAATAAAAAGTTTTATATCTTTACAATTAAATGTTATCAAAATATATAATATAGAGTTTCAAAAATTTGTTTTTTCCTCTTTTTTGCTCGGCCCGAAACTAAACTTCTCCGAATGATCTCCAATTTTTGTTTAGATTTTTTCTTGTCTGCTCGTCTCTTTAGAAGTATATTTATGCAAGTCAAACTGAGTGTGTGTATTTTGAGTAGTGCTTTGGAGGAGATTGGATTTCCCTGCGAGACCTGCGGTTTCTAACAAAAGTATTGAGTGCATTTTTCTACTAATCTCATTCATTCTTTGAAACAACGACGAATTTTCTATTCATAAAAAACGACATTTGTAAATTGATGCAATTCAAGTAAAATTTGCTTCCACAAACGTTCGTTGACGTGTGCTAATGAAAATTTGGCATTTCTTCATTTGATTCGCACATTTCGTTTTTATATACTAAAGTGAGATAAATTCAGTTATACATTTCTGATATTTTTTTTTAACTAAACTCACGCCTGTCCCGCAGAGATATCTGATATGATTGGTTAGTACAGTAGTTTTTTTAAGCCTTAAACCTTACACGTGTATTTTAGAGATCATTGGCGCCTAACTCAATTAAGTCTTTTAAAATATTTGCAAATTCTCACACAGATATTCGCGAATCAACCTCTAAATATAACTAACAATTGAAAACGCCACCAATCTTCAATCAAATGTGAACAAAATTGCAGGGGAACGTGATGATTTCATCTTAAATTCCACCCCTTGAATTAATAGAGCTTTCCAAATTTTTAAAATAAATAAAACCTGCAAAACTACTTTTGAGGGAGTTTAAATGAAGAAAAAACTTTCTGAAAATTAGTGAAAATATGGTTGATGATAATACTTTTTTCAACATATTTAACAACTCCAAGTAATATATTTTTTGTAAAAGGAAAATGGAACGATATTTTAATATTTTCCTTATTAATTTAAATAATTTTTTACTTCATTTGAAACACACCTTAAAATTACATGTTTCAAGTTTCAAATAAAAAACTTTTTAAATTGTTCAGGAAATTCATAGAGAACTAATAATTTAAAATTAAGCTCTTTAAATTATTAACAAATAGATTTATGAACAATTTCATTAATTCAAGGGATGACCTTAATGAAGTATTTAATTAATTTGCTGATTTATGAATTATACTTGACAAAAATTGGTAACGTTTCCTATTTCAATATAACTAAAATCTGAGTCGCACATGAGTCGTTCTGGGGTTTCAAAGGTTTTTCTCCTTAACAACTTCTTAATTCGATTCTCTACATTCGCAGTATAATTCTCGTCTAATTATCTACACACAGCTATACTGAGGGGTATAGGGGGAGTTTCCTTAACAACATTTTTATTTCTTTCTACTTCCTCGTCAGTTGATTGTTGATGTTTTTTTCTCTCCACGATTTAGTCGTCCCACGAGGGGAACTGCGACTCGTCCAGCACCATGCCCATGTTGTTGATGCCGCCTTCGGGGGCGTAGTAGGGCGCCGCCGACGTTGGGGGCGGGTCCGTCGTCCGCGTCGGCTTGGCCGTCGCCGTCCGAGGCGGCTGCGGCTTAGTCACGGACAATTCGATGTTGTGCATCGAGTCTTCGCCGCACACGCCGTCTTGCTCGTCCTGCTCTTTCTGCAGCGTGCTGTTCTTGATTCCATACTTGAAGTACACGATAAAGCCTGAATAAAAATGATCGAAATCAAAATCACAGGAATTTTTGGAAAAATCAAAATTTAAAATAAAGAAAGTCTGTTATGAGCTTCAAATATGTACTTGTCCTGTTGTTAAAATCTTATTTCATGTTAATTTTAATATTCAATAATTCAATTGACGGCATGCTTAGGTTCAAAATTGTCTTGTAAAAAATGAAATAAAAATCTTGTTAATTTGTAGAATTTTATTGTAATTAAATGTTATGTATTATAAATGTAATGTTACTTTTACAAAGAACCTGAACATCCCGTTTAAAAAAAAAAAAATTCAATTTTATATTTTTGTTAGAAAAGTATTGTGAAATGATTAAGGCAATAACTTAACATTTATAAAAGTTACATTGAAAACAATTATTTACAAAACAAAAAGGGGAAAAAAACTACACAAGCCAGTCATATTTGATTTTAGCGATATAATAAATTCAGTCTTTCTATTCAGTCTCTATAGTTTGAAGCAAAGTAAAAGTATATTTTAATGAAATAAAACTATTTCTTTTTTTAATTTCTTCTTCAGACTCACCTATAGACATCCAGATGGTGAAACGCACTAATGTCAGAATGGAGAGCTTGAAAATGAGGTAGATATTCACAGTGACTGCGATGGCCGGCACGAAGGGCAAGCCAGGTGTGGTGAACATGAGAACTTTTCTGCAACACAAACAATTCAACGTTTAGAATTGAAATTAAAAAATGAAACTGGAAAAGAATGTTGAAAAACGTAGGAGGGGTTAGGCAACCTGTAATAATTGAATGCCCTACAGGTTGCATATATTCTTTTTATTCTAAATTCAGTTTATGATTAATAATTCTTAGCTCATATTATTAATATTTATAATTAACTTTTTATAATTTGGCCAAAGAAAAATATATTAATTGTAAGTTTTTTACAAAACATTTCTTTTAAATAACAAATTTTGGTTGAAAAGGTCCCAGTTCAAGCTGTTTTTCAAGAAATGAAAAATTCTAAAAAGCTTCTCTTTTAACTAGTCGGATGTTAAAATTATAATAAGAGAAAATTAAATTAAGGATGTTTCTTCTAAGTTGATTTTGAAGAATTTAAGCGGGACAGCTTCGGTAAAATAGTAAATTTTTTCCATAAAAAAACGCTAGAAGTTTTGAAATAAATTTGCAAAAATTGGTACAATAATATTGTCAAACAAATGTAGGAAATTTTAATTTATATAAATAACAAATATTTGTTAAAAGCAGGGAACAATTAAAACAATATCGCTTTCAGTCTCACATAATTTTCAATTAGAAAGATACAATTTGCAAAGATCCATTAATACAACAAATTTTTGGACAGAGTTAAAAATGAAAACAATTAGAGATATTTTAAAAACAAAATAATTATTGAAATTTCCTGGAAATCTTGAATTTTAAACTTATTATCTAAATAAATCTTCATTTTATTGAATTTTGAAATAATTTGATAGGAAATTTTATATAAAAAACTCACTTGTTTTGTGGTTTGCGAGAAATAAGGAGGAGGACCGCGAGGATGGCACAGAAAAACACTAAGAGGAAGAATCCAGTCCATCCGCCGCCGCCACTGGCCACGCCGACCACCACAATCAAGTCAAACACAATGACCAACAAGTAGAAAAGTCCGACCATCTTCATGACGAACATGCCCGACTCCTCGGTGGCCGGGCCCTGGTCCACCCACGGGAACATGCCCGGGCACACGTAGCTCAGGGCCTGCACGAGGCGCCGCCTGGCGCCGCTCAGGAAGCCGCCGAGGGCCTGCGCGCCGGGCGCCGCCCCCACCGCGTCGCCGATGTTGGCCGCCAGCCCGCCCACCATGCCCGTGGCCGCCGTCTGGCCGCCCACGCCGCCTCCTGGCAGCGACCCGTAGAACTTATTCTCGCAACGGTCCGACACCAGGTACTCGTCACCCTCGTAGTCGTTCTCGGGAAACGTGTCGTCGCTGTCCGGAGAACCGCGCGTCACGCGACGCACCAGCACCTTCTGGTTTGTGCCCATCGCCTGGCTCTGCGAAAACAAAAACAATATTATTTTGCTGTGTCAATTGCGTGTTTAAGATAATCATCAAATTTTTTAATGCAAAATCCGTGACAAGAAATAAGAATAATTTTGATAAAAGAGATTTTTAGAAAAAGGAAATACTGATTTTTTTTTTTAATTAATTGATTCCTTCAGCAAAACAGCCAAAAAAATAAGATATACATTGGTTTTAAAACAATCCAAGTAATGTAAAAATTTAATTTTTTCCAAATTAAAATAAAACTGCTCGAGATAGTTTTATTAAAACTGCTGTCAAATTAATTCAGGAAAATTTTTTAATTTTCTTAGTGGGGGGTTGGAGTGAATGAACCAAGGTACCTTTTTTTAACTGTCACTGACTCTGAAAAAGGTCAAAATTTTAACCCGTGAAGATAGGCAACTTGACAAAAAATTCAAGATAGGCAAAAGATGCTCCTTGTTATTTTGCACTAGTAATCAAATTTACAATTTTTTTAACAAGCCGTTTTGAAAAGAAGCATTCGATTATTCGAATGACTTGAAATTATCTTTTCTGATGAGTCAAGAATTATAAAAATAAGGCTATTTTCATCATATTTCAGTCAAATTACTTTTTTTGCCGTTGATTTTCTAGAGCAATGATGTACAATAAACACTAGTCAACAAGTGGTACAGAATCAAATAACTTGTATATTGTTGGGTCGTAAATTTTGGAATTATCTGAAAACAGCATCTTTATTGTAGTTTATTATTGAAATCAAATCCTCCCAAAATGAGAATTTGTTTCTCAAATTTGACTCTCAAATGATTGCGTGAGAGTTGCTCAGAATTCTAACACCTGTATAGAAATCGATATTTATCTAGTGGAAAGGCATCGTAAAAATTATATGGCTGGTTCATGCGCAACTGAAGTCTTGTGAATAATTTATGAACACCTAAATTGGGAAAGTTGGAGCCATTAAAATTATTGTCTAAAGGTCACTAAAGCTATTAAATATCCCTTTATAGACAACTGAAGATCTTCAAAATCAATATGGAAATAATTAGAAATTGACTTTTAATTAATAAATTTTCATTTTAATTCCGATTCTGAAATTATTACTCAGCAGTTTCCCAGAAAATAAAAATATTTTCAATTTGTCTTCATAAAGTCTTTTAAAATTCTAATTTGCTGCAAAATGGATTTGTTTATTCTGATTAAAAACATTAATTTATTATTAAATGCACCAAAACCAGAATAAATAAAAAAAAATCAAGAATTTGAAACGAAAAATTTAAAAAGAATGAATTTTAGCATTAAATTAAAATAAATTATTCAAATAATTACCGCATGTCCGATCATGAATCCGGACATCATGGGCTGGTGGCTGCCGGGGCCGACCTCGAGGGCGCTCTTGAGGTCGTCGGGCCTGAGCTGGTCGCCGTAGAGGACCTGGCCGTTGGCCACGTCCTTGGAGGGGGAGCGGCGCATGGGCGTGCGCAGGGCCTCGGGCAGCAGGTCGATCAGGTTGGTCGTGTGCGGCTGGTACCGCAGGATGAGCACGCACGTCGACACCAGGGTGTACGCCAACAGGGTGCCTGCGTGGTTTATTTTCAACTTGCAAAGACAAAAAGAAGGAAAGGACGGACTCACCGATGGACATCATCTCGACGAGCACCTCGAGTTGAATGACCAGGGCGGCCACCGACGCGGCCAGACCCGAACACAACGTGGCCAGCACTGGTGTGCCGGTGAAAGGAAGCACTCGCGACAGATCGCTGCAAAAATTTATTCCACTCGTCAATTCATCAAGTTGAAAAATTAAAAAACTTAAATATTTTTAAATCATAGCTTTGGAATAATCTTTATTATGTTTCATTTTTCAAATAAAATCTTCCAATTGAACATAATTCTATTCGAACGTTTGCAGAAATCAATATTTGTTGAGCAAGAATAGCATCATAAAAATTAAATGTTTTAATTTAGTGACCTGCAAATTGTCTCGAAAAGCCAAAATTTTCTCAAAACATTCAGAGAGCCATCAAATAATTAATGATTGGTCCTGAAACTTCCAGATAATTCAGGAAATTGAACGAAGGTATATTTATTTAACTCTGGCTCGTGTGGAAAACATTTTAGAGAAAAATGTTTCAAACAAAACAAATTTTAATTTTGCAGATTTGCACATTCTTTGTATAAATTTTATTCTGAATCCCAAGCGAAAAAAGTTGTGATTGAAAAATGAGGTTTTCTGCTAAATTTTAACCTGAAACTTTGGCCATAGGCTCAAAATCATTATAATTTAAACAATTTGTAGACATTATTTTTTTAAATTTAGGAATATATTCAAATTTATGAAATTTAATAAAATCGAGTTACCGGAAAATGAGCCCGTCTTTGGCCATGGCGTAGACGATCCTCGGCATGGGGAACATGGAGCCGAACATGGACACGGTCAGCCCTGCCAAGGCACCTATCGCCACCACCACTTTGCACTTGTACGCGCCCACTTGGCCGAACATCTCAACCAGAGCCGATTCTTGATCCACCTCATCGTACGGAACTGAAATTTGGAAAATATTTCAAATTTAAAATAAAAATAAAAACCATGGAAATATTATAGATGATAAGAATATGAACGAAATAAGAAGGAAGGGAAAATCATCATTTAAATTTCATTTCTTTTCAAATTGAAAGTTAATTAAAATTTATTGAATTGTTTAGCCGCTGGAAAACAGGGTTTTTCAAATTTATACAAAATACGGAAAGATCTAATTAAAAAAATATTGTTTCTTGGGATAAAATTAAAATAGCATTGAAATTTAACCTCCCAATTTCAATTTAATTTTATCCACAATGTTAAATGCTTAAATTATATATTTTTTACAAGTAAATTTTGTAGCAAATGGAAAGGCGTTTTATTTGCGCACCGCAATTGAGCATAAAAAGCGTTTAACAAGACGCCCAATTTGCCACGATTGACTGCGCCGCGCGATCGAAGCGAGACATGCGGAATAAAATGCGCTCACCGATAAGTGTCAGCATCATGGACGAGGTGACGTAAGCCGCGAGGATAATGACTAGGCTAGTCACGATGGCGTAGGGAATCGATTTCTTGGGATTGGTGGCCTCCTCGCCGGTCGTGGCGATGATGTCGAAGCCGATGAAGGCGTAGAAACAGGTTGCTGCCCCGGTCAGTACCTAAAGAAAGAAAAAAAACACCCCCTCAGTCACAGTCGAAAAAAAAGAGGAGAAGCACTCGGAGTGAAAATGACGCAGCTCGAGTGGCCGCTCTTTTTATACACCTGCTGTTTGCTCAACAGAAAAGTTTTTCTCTTTTTTCATTCTGGCAGAGAAATATGTCGATGTAAATAAACAGCTAGCGGGGTGGAAATATTGACATTGCAATCAAGCCGCGGCGAATCAATCAGATATTGTATTGACACGTTTTTCTGTTTGCAAAAGAAGCTTATTGTTTTTTGATCGGCTAGCAAATCGCTACACAAAAAGTCATGATAGAACAGGTCTCATTATTTTGATTAACAGAGGGAAATTATTTACATCATTAGTGAAATTTACGAATGGGAAAAATAGTGATTTTAGGATTTGAATTTTTTAGAAAACAGTTTTCTTTGTGAAATCTTTAGATTTATAACATTAGAAAATCTCATTTTAATAGAGATTTCATTTGATAAATGTTGAGATAATTTATTTTTGAACTTCAATTTTAACCTAAAATGTTTATTTTGACTTAATTAATGCATTTTAGCTCATTTGCAACGAAGAGAATTAAAATATACCAATTTTATGTGCCAAAAATGTAAGCTTTACTTTTTCCTTCAATTTATCAAGTTTTTGAACTTTCCAACTGGGAGTGATAAAAAAAATTATTGAAATATCTCTGAATCGTATTTTGCCAATTTCATTCAAATTGTATCTGAGAACAATGGTGCCGTTTTTCATGAATTTTTTTAACCTTTCCATTGATTTTAATTAGGAAAAGACTCACCCCTGACCAACCGTACGGGAGGAATCCTTTGTGTTCCGTCCAGTTCTTGGAATCAACATAAAACAGTCCGGCAGTCATGATGAATACCCACACAGCCAGGTTGATAACATTCAGGATGTTATTGAAAATTAGAGACTTCTTCACGCCGGCAGCCATGATCACCATCATGACGAGCGTGATGATAAAGGCGAGGAAATCAGGCGGTCGACCTGAAAATTTGAAAATCAATCAAAATTTGCTTTTATTAATGATGACAGTTAAAAAAATTATACCTAAATATGAATTGATTCTTCTTTATTAAAAAAAAAATTTAAGAAAATAATAAAATATTTTATTATAGAATCAGGTAAAAATGAATCTTGATTTTCAAGTAATAATTATGAAACGATGTTAAATTTGACTGACCGAATATGGTGCCGATGCTGTTTCCTATCGCAGAGCTGATGGCGCCGTTGGCGAGCGCGTCGAAGCACGCGCTGAGCGCACACGCGCACGCCGACGTGCCGATCAAGTACTCGAGGACCATGTTCCAGCCAATGACGAACGCGAGGAACTCGCCCACGGTCACGTAGCTGTACATGTACGCCGACCCAGTCGTGTTTGGAACCCGAACTCCGAACTCGGCGTAACAAGCACCTGCCAAAATCAAACACTTATAATTTAGCTTCCAAGTTTTATGTCTCAACAAATTATATAAGTTTCAAATAAAATTGCAATATTTGTGTATTAAAAATAATGTTTCCTTAATTTAAATGTGTTATTTTTAGTTTTAAACATTTTTGCACCAACAATTTTTTTTATAAACTACTCTTTTATGCAGAAAATTTTCCGTCCTGAAAAAAATTTGCTTGGCCTATTCATAAATTATTTTTAACTCTGCTTTTGAAAGATATTCATTCACAAATAACCCTCTTTCAGACACACCTCCGCTTCTTTCATGGTTTCCTCGCCTTTCATCTCTAAAATGATTTCAAAAGATAGTAGGTCAAATCCGTTCGCCCTCGTCCAGCCTGTTTCCCCTCGCAACGGAAAAAGGCACACATACGTTATGTACTTTTTCATCTGACGCGTTCAAATGTGAGCAACACACATTTCCGATGAGCTTTTATGGCACAAATTGCGCAGGAAAAAATGAAACGCAGACATGTGTGCCAATTGATTTTTTTTTTCATTGAAAATGCAGAGATGTTTACAATCAAATTTCAATCTGTATTTTCTATCTGATGAAAAACAAAATTAATTAAAAGAATTTGTTATTCTGAAAAAAGTCGCAAAATTTTAATATATATTAGTTGATGAATGATTATAAATTAATTTTGTAAATTTCCAGAAACGTTTTAAAGTAAAATTGAATGATTTAGAAAGCCGAATTTGTAAAAATCGGACTAAATTTTATGAAAATTTTATTGAAGCTAAAAAAAAATTAAATCCAAATCAATTTTTGACTAAAAAATGATCTTGAGGAAAACGGTTTAACAAATGCTTTGCAAAATATATCTCCTCACTTTTTCCAGAGGCCAATTCTAAAAGAGGAAAAAATGATTGGAAATTTGAGCTTCTAAATCCGAAATAGAGAAATTTTATCTCCTTTGATGATATTTCGCAGACTCACACGTCGCAAATATTATATTTCCCAGCTTCACATGTGCCGGAAATTTTGCAATTCCCAACGGCAATTTCAATCTGCAGCTGTTTTTTTTCTTCTTTCATTCTGTACATCTCTAGGCAAAGCCGAGCTGCAATAAACTTTTCAAAGAGAGACTTTTACAGCAGCCGAGCCGGTGCGTGCGGACTTGGCAAAAAGTTTTCATTCCTTTCGCAATAATAATGATAAAAATATGATACGACTTTCTGCTTTGAATATCCTCCGAGTTCCAAACGTGAATGAAGAGAAGTTCATTCAACTTATGAACTTTCCAACCTGAGAAATTTAAATCAAAATCAATAATTAATAAGTTCAAATCTTTTTCTTTAAAATTGGAAAAATTTAAATAAATCCAAATTAATTTTACTCGAATTTATTGAATAAAAAAATCCATAAAAATATTTTGATTTTGAATTAAAAGTCAAAATTCTTTTAAATAAATAATCTAGTTTACTATCGATTGCAGATTGACTTGATGAATATGCAAATTTCATCAAAATTCACCCTCAGATCGTCACCTCCGTGCACCATTACCGGGAGTTTTCCATGCCTGGGGCGAAACATTAACTTTTGCGCTGCTGAGAGTGTGTGGGCGTGTGTGGAGGAAGAATCACATTTTCTTGCCGGCGTCATCTCGCTTCAAAACTTGACTGAGATAAGCGAAAAGTGACAGACGCGCGCAGTAAAAAAAAAACTCTCGCTCAGAAAAGAAGTTGTCGCGCGCACGAGAGGTTACACAAGAGACACAAGTTGCTACATTCTTAATTGGCTCGTCGACTTCTGCCATACCAGCATAGAAACTTCAAGCTCGCAAAAGTTTCAAGAATATTATAATATTTCATTGTTATACTTAAATGATAAAATCCACAAAATTATGAATATTTAAAAAATCATTATAATACTCAAAATTGAAAGAATTTAACTTCTAATTTAAGCATTAATTTATTTTTTGTAGATTTAACCTTAAATTAGTTTTATTTTAAATTGATTTTGAATTTTTTTAATTAATTTCAACGAAATTTTGGCCAAAATCAGCTGTCACGCGGTTTGAATCGAGTTCTCATTCAACCGCTTTTCCCTTCCACGAGCACAAATTCGCCTTAAAAAAAGTAATCTAAATGCAAATCGCTCGCAGCGGGCCGCTGAAATTAGCCGCAACAACTATTATTGAAACCAGAGCTACATTGTGTGGTGCGCGACCCGCTCGACTGAGCTGTTCGGCGGGTTTGCCTGACGCTTCTCAATTCACTGATTCATCGAAAACCAGCGAAATTCAAATCTCATTGCTGTTAATTTAGGGCCAAATGCGCACGAGTGGACAAACCAATAACATCTGAAAGTTCCACTTGAATTACTCTAATGTACGTTTTGCGCAAATTAGATGAGGATAAAAATTACAATTCTCCAATTGTCAAATTTTTTTTCTGAATTAGAATTAACGTGAGAAATTTTTTGTTTATCCGTTAAGTTTCCTTTTAATTTTCAAGGAGGAAAGTACACAAATTTTCCCCCACGCAAAAACATTACAACTAAAGAGGAAATACCAAACGGTTAAAACCAGTATTTGACATTGATGGACTGACTGTATGGGCGGTGGGAGCGTAGGCAGTTTACAGAGGATGAAAGCAAACAAAGTGGAAAATCTCTCTCGATCTCTGTTATTTTGACGTCTCGTTTTCAGAACCGAAATTCATCCAGAATTTTCCTCCTGTTCAAAGTCCAAAGGAGCTTCCGAAGCACTTTAATATGTTGAGTAAGTTTCTTTCTTTTTGAGAAGACATCAATTCTATCAATTTAAAAGTTCTTTTTCCTCTAGGGAAGATTTTGAGCTCACTTCAAGAGCGCTCGGATTGGAAAAAGGAAAATTGCTTGATATGATCTGTTTTGTTTCAAGTTGTATTTTCATCGCAATCTTTGCATTTTTTACTAACAAATTAACCTTTACTTGTTTGGAAAATTGCAGAATTTCCTACCTGAAAATATTGAAGCTACGGCGGCGATGATGAAGGAAATGACGACACCAGGCCCCGCTACATTCCTAGCTACCATTCCAGCGACTAAATACATTCCTGTGCCTACGCAGCTCCCGACGCCCAACGACGTCAGGTCTAATGTGTCAAGGCATTTCTGAAACAAAATAATGTCAAATTAATAACAAAAGCAGATTATTTAAAACAAAAAATACAATTAAAACTAAAGTATTACCAGAATTTTAAATTTTAATTTGCTGCATTAAAAAAAAAAAACTTGTGAATGCTAATTTTTTCCTGTCCATTTAATTAGATTTATTCCATAAATTTCAAGATGGATCTGAATACAATTTTTTTTTTAAATCTAATTACCAAAATGCAGCTCATGAAAATGAAATTTTTTACATTAACAGAATTTAAATTTGTTCCTTATTCTCATTAATAACTAAGAAAACTTTCAAAAGACGAGTTCCTTTGAAAGAAATTGGATAACTTTAATTTTCACTGAAATGCAATCAGGAAAGAAATTAATTAATTGAATGAGAATGCTAAAGTTTTCAAAATTAATTTTTTCCTGCCACAGAGAGCAAAGCAATCAAGGCGTCCTTGATCCTCCCCATGAATATAAACCGGCAGTTTTTTTCCTGGAGAGAGAAAGATGAATTGGGGGTGTTTGGAGAGATGCCACGCTCATCGCCCTCGCCCCAGCTTTATGGAGTGTTTATTAAAATTTCGCGCAGCTGTTGCTGAGATGAAAAATAGTTTCTGGGCGGCTGCCACGAGCAAACTTTTCCAATTACTCGACGCGCACCCAATTATTGGGAAAGGGAAATCAACACTCAAAAAACAGCTTCGCAGAATCAGTGCGGTTGAAACTTAATTTGTGGAGGACCAAAATAACCGTTGTTCTGGGAAAAATCGTTAATGGAAACAAAACAAGAGGCGTGTGGGGTGAATGAATAACAAAGGAAGAGACTAGGCATTTAAAAGAGAAGAGAAATGCGAGCCCAAAAATAACATTTCTAATTATGAATTAATGAATATAATAATTACCTTTCAATCTCTTGATTAGTTTAATTAGTTTGTGTTTATAATTTGAAGAAGAAAGCTTATTGCAGTTAACTAAATCTGAAAATGTATCTATGATCTAAAAAAATTCAGCTTCACATTGAATCAATGATCAGAAAATATTCAAAATTTTGATACTTTTCATAATGATGCAATTTAAACAAATTATATTTTGAAATAAATTAATTATGAATTTTAAAATCTTTGTATGGTTTTTTCCTCTCAAAAATGGATTTTTTGCAGGTTAAAAAATTTTTATTTAATTTTATTTTCGCTTATAACTTTTAAATTTATTTTCTCGAAATATTTGGGATAAATTTTGTAGCATTTGGATTCATTTTCTCTTCAGGGCAGGCCGCGCGCGAAATAAGTAAAGAGAGAGCGTCTGGCGTCCTTCCAAAGTTCTCCCTCGTCTGCACGTTGAATTTTTAATAATAAATAGACTGGCGGGCAGCGAAAAAGAGGCTCCACGTGACGGGACTGTGTGTGTATATTTTGCCGGGGGAGAAGGCGAATTCCCCAGCTGGGCGCGCAGCCGCACATAATGTGGTCATTTGGTGCGCCTAGAAAGACCCACGACGCCCCACGGCCAAATCTCAAGCTCGTAAATTTCCGCGACTTACTTGCTACGGTTGCGCTGGATTACTCGGGAAGGGCAAAGTATAAAAAGTAAGGCAAGTTGCATTTTACGATAAAAGTCGGCATGAATTGCATCCTTTTTTTCATATAACAGCCTTAAAAATTTTAGGGGAAAAATTTCAAATTGCTCTATAATATTAAAAAAAATTGAAACTAGTTTTTATTTGAAATTATGAGTAAAGACGCAGTTTTTCCATATAAGGCAATTTTTTGTAGTCGCAACAGTTAGATGAAAATTAGCAAATAAGGTTATTTTTGAGAAAAAAAAAAACAAAAAAAGATGCTAATACAGAGTTAAGTTAAAAATATTTAGTATTTTTTAGCATTGAAGGCAAAATAAAAATTGTTTTTGCATTCACATAATTTTAATCTCGAAGACAAAGTTTGCAGAGATTATTTTTCGGTACAAAAAGTTTATTTATAAATATTTAATAAATAATTTCTCCCCACAATTTTCTCCTATTTGTGAGAATTATTTTACTTATTGATTATTATCAGATGGGATTTTGGTGAAGTAAACTTTTTCCAATTAATTTATTTCAATAAAATAAAATTAATTCTTAAGTTTGTTTCCTTTTAAATTTATTCATGGGATTAATTTTTTTAATTAAAAGCGATTTATAAAATTTTACTGATTTTTAATAATAATTGAGCAAGAAAAATTCCTGTCTTTGCAATAAAATTCCGAGGTTTTGTGCGTGGGAATGGAAAATTCTTCTGCCTCTTTTTTCAAGGTGTTTTTTTTCCTTATTTCCAGTTGGCCGCAAAATGAGGCCTGAGAAAGTGGAATTGACAGCTAGGGGAGGAAAAAAAATAGACACGTCGTCCGTCGCAATTTCCTGACGGCGGAAACGTGCGGTTTCTTTTATTTATTTTTTTACCTGTAATTTGGGTTTGCCTGCCGATTGCGGCGTTGGTCGAGTTTCGGCCGTTTCTTGCAGCGACGCGACGTTTTTCGTGCGGATCAGTTTGGAGAACAGGGTCAGTCCGTCCCTGCGCAGCGCCTCCTTGTCCACGTTGGCGATCTTTTCCTGAATGTTCATCATCCTGTCTGCCGGTCACGTCTGAAACAATTTTTGAATTTATGAAAATCGCTAATTCAACTATAAATTTGAAATTATCTTTCGCAAGCATTTGAAAAAAATTCAAGTCAGTGTTGAATTTTTTACGTAACAATAAAATTTACAACAATAAATTCAAGTCATATTGTTAGGTAAAAATAATCTGTTCATTAAGCAAAACATGAGACTTTTGTAATTCCATTTAATTAAAGGCGATTAAATTTAATGCTTGTGCATAAAACGCGCAATTAGCGTGACCCAGTTTTCCGCAAATGAGCCGTCAAACAATTAGATTAAATGCGCGACAATAGAGTGTTGCCTTTCAGTCGTCAAAGAAGTGTCTTTCATTAATAATCCCTCTTGATTACCCGCTTTGTGCATCGGCCGGAAATCACAAAAGAAACTAACAACGCGCGGAGGAGACTTTTTTCATTTCTACGAGGGCTGCAAAACCCACCCGCCGGCCGAACAACCCTGTGAATATTTAATCGTCGGTTCTTTGAAGTGAAACGAGACCCATTCATGGCTCGCCGGCGACAACTTTTGCAGCCCTGCTTCAATTTTAATGTCGAGCCACAAAAAACGTTTTCATATTTCCGGCTCGGATTCGAATGTGGAATCGCATGATTGGACATGAAATAAATATAATCCCCTATTGGTGGCACGTTTGTGGCTTCAATGCGAGCTCCAAATATGGTAGACCTTTCAAATATTTTCACATCTCTCTTTCATCATTTGTGTAATTCGCCCTTTGATCCTTGACAAAAACGAATTTTGTGTATTTGCCCTGGGGATTCGTCAAAAATATCACTTTGACGTTCATTTTTCCGTTGCGTGTGACAGGTGAATTTTCATGTATAAATTAAATGCCTGAAAAATTATCATAATTTTCAGATCAAGTTCATTTGTGATCATATTTCAGGCCTGAAATAATAATAAAAGCAAACAAAATAGCTTCCCAAAATATTAAGAGCCGCATTTTTCAGTTGACAAAGTTAAATTTAACGAGGTAAAGCGCCAATGGGCTGATCGAAAATATTTGCTTACTCTGCTGAAATATTTCATTTCCCTCCCGAATTAATTTTGTTCTCCTCTCCTTGTTGGCTACAAAGTTTAGATCTTTCTAATGATGTTTGTTTAAATACAGTTAAATAAATATTAAATTGTATTTATCTTGCTTCATATAATGTTTGTTTTGATTGTTTTTACCAAATGTAAACTATACGCTCATATTTGTGTTGGGAAATAATTGGTACCAAAATTGATGCTATGTTTTAAATTGATTGAAAACAAATGCTGATTAGTCGAATAAATAAATAATTCATTTATTCAGTGAGAAAATTAATTAAAAACTGCTTTTCAAGCAAATTTTGTTGGAAATCAGCTTTCAAGGAGAATAAGAATTGACAAACGTTTTTAGCAGCTGGCAATTTGCACAATCCGGTTGAAACCCGAGCTCTGCACAAATAATTCCAAGCAAAAGGCTCGGCGCCGCACCATTAGATTTAATGAGAGAACCGCTTTGTGCACAGACGGGGGTACTTTAATGTGTACTTGTGCATGCGTGTGTGCCCACATAAGTACACTCAGTATCAATGTATGAATGTGTGTCACACACGCCGCAAACTTCGCCTCTTGCACGGCACTTTTGATGGGAAATTTGCATGCGATGGCTTCATTTGGCCTCAAAGGTGGCAACGAGATAAGTTTCGCAACGTAATGACAACCTAAACTGCAGTTTGCATAATACTCTCAAAAATAAATTAATAACTCTAATGATTTTGTTAAATGTATTTAAATTGATTTAAAATTTAATATGTCAATCAATATTTGGACGAATATTAATTAATTTAATCACAAATTAAGAACAAGTTTCAAAGATTGAAGAATTGCAGTTTGCAGGTAAATAATTTAAAAAAAGTTGTAAAATATCCTCTTATAATAAGATATTTTTTTACTTTCGTTATATAACAATTAATATTCATATTTAAAATTAATTTATTACTTTATTTATTAACTCAAACTATTGTAAAATAGAACAACATTAAAATTATTTAGAATTTTGTAAAAAATTTCATTAACAAATTCACATAAACTGTTCTAGAAACGTCTGGAAATATTCAAAAAATTAAATTTAACAATGAAAAAATTTAATAAAATATGCTGTTTTTGGTCTCGTCTACTTTGAATTAGCAGGAATAGAACAAAATGATTGAAACTTTTTGCTATTCAAAGTAAAACTTTTGTGCAAAACCCTCTCTCTAGATGTCTAGATATTAATTCAAAAGAATTATTTTAATTTTAAAAATTTCAAAAATAAAAATTGATTTGAAAGGAAGTTCGGCCATTATAAATTATTGTATCAAAAAGTTTCAGTCTAAATTATTGAGAACTGAGTCTGGCAAGGCAATACTATTAATAGTTTTAATAAACCTTATAATAAAGGAATGAAACCAAATATTTATCCTGTTTTTCACAATAACCCTTTCTTTTTTCTTATTATTTTCCATCATGATTGCGAGTGTCAGTTTCACAGACAACAAAGCTTTTCCGAGGCGTCTGCCTGGCGAGACAACATTTATTTCGCGCCGGTTGTTGAATTCAATTCCTCCCCGCGATCGTTGTCCTGAGGAAGCGCTGGAAAGATCTCGTTTCGATTCGGCCAACTGAGTTTTCATAAGTTTCGAGCGAGCGAGCGGAAAAGTCGGAAAGTCCAGCAGGAGAACGGCCGGGCGGGGAGAGTTCGTCCGCCCTCTCTCCCTTCATTATTGATCTAACAAAGCGGCGCCCCGACACAATTTTCGAGTGCAACCCTCACACATACATTGGCGGACCTGCCAGCTGCACCCCGTCCACACAATTTACATATTTCACTTTTAAGTTTTTGAAACATTAAATAAAAAAAGAGAGACATGCAAATATTTTATTTAAAATCAAAGCTTGTAAAATTTATGTTTCTTAAGAAGTTTAAATTACTTACTAGTAAGATTTTTTTGTTCTAAAAAATATTTTTTGTTTTTTTTTTGTAATTAAATTTTATCACTTTTCAGGTGAATTTTCAACATTTTCAGTAACAATCATCAGAAAAATACCAAAATTTCAATCTCAATTATTGTAAAATATTAATTATGGATTATATTCTTCTTAAACTGATTCAATATTACCGCTTTATTTAATTGAAATGAATTAAATCCTCCTTAATGAACCAAATTTGATGCGATTTCTCTGCTTTATTTCCACACAATTTCTATTCAGGCCCACACGTGATTGTATTTCCAGACGTCAATCGCATGCTCCGCCGCCATAGTTAGAGTTGCGTGTCAGGCGAAAGGTGTTGAGAAGCCCTTCCTCTTTTCCAGCACCAATATTTTTCCAGTCGTCAAACATCAAAGCCACCTCTTTCCGAGAAATAACACGAAAACCGTGGCTTGTGTTCAATTTTTAGCAAAATCTCATTATATAACGGTGGCTGCGTCCCTTTTGCAGGAAAATTTGCATTGCAAATTCGCGCGTTGGCCCCAAAGTGTGTTTACGAGACGAGCCATTTTGGGCGAGACTGGAGAGAGAGAGAAAGAGCCATTTCCGTCTCTTCGTAGACACAACCAAGAATTTGCCCCAGACGCCTCTTTATTTGCATTCGCTCAAGTGACACTCAAAAGCGTCTTCGCAAGCAAGATTAAGGCCTTTGATTCCGTAAGTCTGCCAAAAACAAAGAGAATGTCAAAACGCCAGCACTCAATTGTTGTATTTGTTGTGAATCTCATTAAGAGTTAAAACAAATAAAATTGATTAATTATTTGATAAAAACATATCTTCATATATTTCAGATTTTGTTATTTTCATCTTCTTTTTCGTTATTAAAACTTAAAATTACTTTATTTAATTGAGCATTATTTCGTGACCAGCTTTTCCTGGTGCTATAAAATTCATTTTTAATTAAAAATGTTCTCTGTTTTAATTACAATGTTTACGACCCCGTTTCTTTTAATTTACGACCGCAAGTCAAGCCAAGACAAATTCCGGGTTGCCAAGTTGAGCATCAATCCCTTTGTAGCAAAGGAAAAATGCAATCTCGGCGGCGGCGCTGCCAAGTGGAGCTCATTTCTGCACAATAAATTGTCAACTATAACAGAGGAGGAGAGCAGCTTTGCAGAAAGCGCCTAATGAAGGTGAAGAGGATCAAACTGTTGCTTGTGCACAATATAAAGGACACACGACACGAAGAGTCGCTTTTGCAAGATCCGGTGTTGGATTTGAGTGACGTGCAGCAAACCAAATCCTCAAAAGAATGAAAAGAAGAAGCTGTAAAAATATCTCAAAGATATCTTAATTTTTTGAAGATATTTAATTAAAAATCTTTTGCATACATTTCGTAAAAAATTTTAATATTAAAGACTTTGAATCATCAAGTTTATCAAAATTCTTTCAGACAATTAAAGAAAATTTCTTTCAAACAAAAAACTTGATAAAATTTAACAAATTTATACAATTCTTTTTAATCCCCAATCAAAGTTATACCAAAAGAGATGAACTTAAATCACAAATAAATTCTTTAATAATTATAAAACCAATAAATAGTTTAAGAAATTGTTAAAAGAAAATTTAGGAGAATTCGGTATTTTTTCCAAATTGTTGGCTTTTTTGTCATATTCTCACTATTGATGTGATGACGCACCCTTCAAACAAGAAGAGCAGTTGAGGAGGGACAGAATTGCTCTCATTCTCATGTAGGGTGCTATTTTCATCTCTCCTTTTGATAGCGTTAGTGGCGCAGAAAGTGGCTCAGGTGGCGTCGTTTCACAAGCGATTGTGCGGACGCAAAGTTAGGCTTTTTGCCGATGAAACTTTTGGCGGAAAAGTTGATCGGCAGCGGCTTATCGATTCAATTGAAAGAGATGCAAATAGCGACAGGGAAATAAAAATTGGAAAAATTGCCCAATTCAAATCAAACCTGCTGCGACGTTTACCACAAAAAGCGTGTAAGGCCTTACCAGGATTTATAA